CATCCACTCACTAAAATGCAAGAACTTCCGGGATCCCCACATGTTGTCAGTGACAAACCCCGCACCCGCAAAGAAAAGCAGAGCACTGAGGAAGAGCTTAGGCAAGTAGTTGAAGTGCTCCACGGTACTGAAGTACGCCGCACCGCAGAGCATGGCAAAGATCATCCCGGCTCGTCGGTCGTGCGCATTGCGCATGACTCCATAGCTGATCACATTAAACTTCAGCTGCATGTAGCCTGTTGCTGCACCACAGCATGCGAGAAGGTAATTGAAGAGGCCGAAGGTCAGCGCCTCGTCATCTGTAGAAACCTTCAATGGGAGCTTGCTCTCAGTGGCGTGAAGTTTCAGAATGCAGTCCATGGTCGACACTATCAACATCACGCCAAGATCAGGGAGTGTGGCAGCCCATGCGTCGAAGTTGATGTCTTGGGTGGACCCAAGGCTGTCCTAGGTCTTGCTGTGGTGGATCAATTTCGCTCAAGCACCTGGAAAATTCTCTCCTCGTTTACAGCCGGAACCCTCCTTTCCCCCACAAAAAAAGGCTTCGAACGTTGGTGGAGCCCAGGGTCCAACCACACACGGTAGAAGGGCTCGTTCTGCACTTCAGGGAAGAGCCAGCCTCACTTGGGGTCGAGATTCTCAATGTGCTACCATAATACATAAACACACGTGCACACAAACATATGTATGGTCAGGAAGAATATGCGTGTTAGTACTTACCCTAGATGAATTACCCGTATTCGCACTCATAATGACATTCTCACATTAGTGGTCGGACTTATATGAGCAACAGCACAATCATTAGCAGTAGTGTTTGTGTTTGTGACAGTGCTGGGGTTAGCATCTTAGTAGCCTTAGTATTCGTTTTCGCCGTGTTCGGAATTTGTATTCGCATTAGCGCTTGCATTCAAAATGATATTCGTCTGTTAGCATTCGTATTGGTTTGGTGGTATTCGGCAAGATGCTAGGCACCAGGTGCTCGCTATTTAGCCTGTAAGTAACAGGAATTCAGGCATTAGGGACTAACGATTACTTTCAGCATTAACATTAGCATCCGCATTCGCTTTCCCTTACATTGATGATACTATGGCATAGGCATCATATTTTCATAGGGCTCAGTAGCAGTTAACGACTAGCAGGAACAGAAGTAGTTGCAGGAACAGTCGTAGTCGTAGTCGCAGTCATAACCGTAGTAGTCGTAGTGCCGTCGTCGTGGTAGTAGTAGCCGTAGTAGCCGTAGTAGTAGCAGTAGCAGTAGCAGTAGCAGTAGCAGTAGCAGTAGCAGTAGCAGTAGCAGTAGCAGTAGCAGTAGGAGTAGGAGTAGGAGTAGGAGTAGGAGTAGTAGTAGTAGTAGTAGTAGTAGTAGTAGTAGTGGCAGCAGCAGTAGGAGGAGGAGAAGTCGCAGCAACAGCAGCAGCAACAATAACACTGTGATTACCAATGGTATTACTGATTACTGATACAACAGTTGAACTGAATCTGGGGCCAACCTGAATCTCGCATCGTCTCGGGCGTCTGCTGCATCCCCAGTGCGACGCTCCAGAAGATGGCCAAGGGCAGTAGCAAGCCCAAGGGCATCCTTGAAGTCTGTTCAGGGTATGTATATATATATATATATACACATGTATGGATTATACTAAATACATAATAAATCTATATGCATATATATGTATATATATACATGTATATTATATAGATATATACATATATATATATGTATATATATATATATATATACATCACTCAAATATGCATATTTTATATGTATAGTAAGTATGTATATTATGTATGCATAATATCCATATGTATATTATATGTGTGCCCTAAATATGTGTAATTATTCTATATGTACATAAGTCAACATGTAAGGGCTCTATAAGTCATCCCTTGTGTCTGTTTGAAGACTATAAGCGCTCTACGACGGTTCTAAGAGGGTTTCGCGTTGAGAAACTATTGAGAAGCTATGCTTTGTGAGGTCGCCTCAGGAAGCGCAAAGACATGCTTGGTCGTTCTTTCGAGCTCAGGGTGTTCAGCTTTAGGGCAGAGGTCTCCTATGGCTTTGGATCAAAAGTTCTGCGTGGTAGCAAGTGTAGAGGTCTTACGGGGTTTCAATAAAGTCAAGGTGTGCTGAATGCGGCTTCAAGAGGCTTGCAAAGGCTTTCGGGCGTGATGTTCTGTTCAGTTTCAGCTACCAGATGAGGGAGCCGGAGCAAACAAGAGCGAATATGCCGAGATTGTTCTGTTAACGTAATAAGCGCCCAGCATCATGATGGTAGGGTTCCCGATGTGAAGGGCCTTGATGAAGTAAAGCGCAATGCCGATGAAAGCGGCCGTGAAGAATTGCCTCGGGTCAAAGTCGCAGAACTTGATGGCATAGTAGAAGACCTTATAGCCGACACATGCAAGAAAGGCCTCGGAGATGCTGTAGGGCATATAGCTGACATATCTCGTGAGCTTCAGCTTCCCAAGGAGGCTCCAAATGATGGCCAGCAGCAAGGTGGAGAAGGCTACTGCGAAGATGGTGGTGGCTCGAAGCTGTGCATGATAGGACTCACACTCCTGAGGAAAAGCCATGAGATGGTCACCCTTGCAGAAGTACTTCGTGGGGTCATCCTTCTTGAGTAGTCTCCCACCCGCGTTGGAATAGCTCTCCGAACCTTCAAGGGCTAGGCTTCTGGCCAGCTCGTTTGAAATGGTGATGACCCAGTCCCCATAGAAAACTGCCGGGTTGAGATCCGTCCCGCCAATGGCCACCGGAATGCCAGAGAAGACCGACCTGGCCATTCCGGCTTATATGACAATCACCAGTGTCATTGCGATTCTGGGTCTGGCTACGACTCTACCCATATTATGTGTATGTGTAGATGCGTATGTATGTATGTATGTATGTATGAATGTATGTACATACGTACGTATGCATGCATGTATTTGTACGTCAAGTTTTTGAGTTTGTTTATGTTCACATGCATATGTATATTCACAAATATGTCAACATATACATTCTTCAAATATGAACACATTTGTGTATATATACATGTATACATATATATATATATATGTGGCTTATATACCTTCATGCGAACTTACTTTTTGCTTGAAATGAATTATGTACACATAGAAACAGATATGTGTTTCATGTGGGGTGGGTGGGCATGTATACATATGTATACACACATGTATATGGACGGATGGATATATAGCTAGATGTCGCTTATCACTATTCTTGAGGATCTAGGCTCCGGTTTGCCGGTCCCTTACTACTTGATTTTCGGAAACTCCCACATCAATCCACCACCGATGAAGGATGCCGCCAAGCACATCTTCACGCCCAGGGCGCGATGCGCTGCATTCCGCTCCTCGCTGAAGATGATCATTCCATAGGAGCAGCACATGCCGAACATGAGCATGTGGTTGATTAACCTGTGCACTTGTTGAGGAACTTAGCGTACGTTACCTGAATACGCTGAGGGAGTCCTGCAAGCCCACTATCGAGCCTCTACTTCTTTATTGTTTGCAGAACTGTTACTGTGAGTAGTCTTACTATTCTTACATATTTTCTGATTCTTCATACTCCTTGTCTTTAATATTTAGCAGATCTAGACTGAAGAAAAGAGCCCAGCAGCGCAGAGGCCAAGGCCGCGGCGAAGGAGCCGAGCTTGGACTGGTTCTTTTGCTCCGTTTGCTGGTGCTCCTGGCCAGCTCCCACGGGCTCCATCAGGGAGAGCCTGCGGTTTTAGGGCTGAAGGTTCAGAGGCTTTAGGGTTTAGGGGTTTAAGGCTCAGGGGTTTGGGGTTTAGGGCTCCATGAGAGAGAGCCTGGGTTTAGGGCTGAAGGTTTAAGGTTTGGGGTTCTAGGGCTTCTTCGGGTTTACGGATTTAGGGCTTTTTTCATCGGTTTAGGGCTCGGGCTCTAAAGCTTGCGCTTTCGGGTTCCAGGTTTGCAGGGTTTAGGGGCTTTAGGTTTAGGGGATAGGAGACTCTCCTTCAAAACATGAGGAAACTCAGGTCACACGTCCAAATCAGGAAGGATCCCTGATATTGACCAAGAGTCGGTGATATCATTCGCTTCAAAGCTCCAGTGGGGTGGGAGATGTGCTCCAGGGACTGCGCCAAGTTGTGCGTGTCTTGGCCGTGGATCATCGTGTTCAGGCGCGTGCTATCTGCCCGCACATTCTGATCGATCTCATCGCCTGAATGCACAGCAGGCATCGTCGTCGACATGATTCTACAACGTTGCTTGCAGCGAGCTCTTGGCCACTTAACATCCGCATTCACATGCCTGGCATGTACTTGTTAAGCGGTCCCCTTGTGAGTGTGCAATAGCTCTCTACCACTCTTGACATTTTTGGTTGGGTATATAGATCGAAGACACCGCATGCTCGTACATATGCACAGGGTGCTTGCTTCCGAGACTGAGGAACAACTTGAGCCAGAAAGCATTGGGCGGTCTGTGGTTGTGGAGTCTCGGAAGCAGGGCTTTTCACCTTGGCCATTAGGATGCAGGGTTTGGGCTTGCGGTTTAGGGCGTAGGGCTTTTGACGAAGCCTGTTGGAAGTTAAGTGGTTCAGTCGACAATAGTACCCAAGCTCTTGCAGTTAGGCTGGGTTAGTTTTGAACAGCATGCCGGTAAGTTGGAAATCCGCTGAGCCTTAGCCCTAGCCCCTAATCCCTAAACCCCAAAGCCCTAGACCCTAACCTAAACCTTAGTCCTAGCCCCTAAACCCCGCAAGCCCAATGTCACACGTCTATGAAGACCCCAAATCATTGAGGCTGAGGCACCCTGACATCCCAAAAAAAACTAGACCCTATGGCCTAAACCCTGCAAGTGGGACATTTGTACTAATTGTTCAAACCCTCAAACTCTTCTGGAACCCTTAATTACACGACCCGTATAGAACCCTGTGTAGTAAAAAAGGGCGCCCGATGATAAGCTTGTATAAGCCCTCGGCCTAAGCCCCAAATGCTGAACCCTAGACCTCTGGATGAACCCGCTTCCATGGCCTGCGCCGCCTGCCGTGCAGCCTCTTCTGCAGCTGGCATTGGCTCGGTCTGGGTGGCAGTAGGAGTTTTAGGGGATTCCATATTTTTTTTGGCAAGGGCTTCATCCTTCGAGCTTACAACCACAGGCTTGATTCCTTACCTTTAGGCAGGAGGGAATGGAGGAATGGTAATAGTAGTGGTTGTAATTGCACCCCATTCCTCCATTCCCTACTAACCAAAGGTAAGCTATAGGATTATTAAGGCCCTTTATCATAGTACCCCTATAAATCCCTTATACTAACCCTTGTAGACCCCTTGATGCTTCGGTCGGTAACTGAAACAACTTGCCCACAGCCACGGCCTGGGCAGGGCGCCAGCAACTGCCACGCAAAAAAAACACTGCATATCGGAGTCAACACATGTGGGTGGTTGTCAAAATTAGGGTCCCCTTTTGGGGTCCTTATTCTAACACGGCACCCAATATTTAGGGTACCCAGAACGGGACCCTAATTTTGACAACCACCCATGCATCTGTCAGTTTCTAGCACAGCCGGAGCGGGTTGAGGATCAGGTGGTCGGAATTGGCTCATCAAACATGACAAGCACAGGCCGGAGAAACCGAGCGGTAGATTGCAGGCCACCAGTTGACGGATTCAAGCCGATACAGCTTGCAGCTCGAGTGAGGAGTGCCTCCGCATCGTGATCAGGAGCGGCGCATTCACGCTCTTGACATTGATCGCTGAAGTTGCCCATAGATCAGCATCCCCCGCCTGTGAGGGATGGTAGCACACAGTGCCAAGATGTCTCTTGCAGAGGACATTGAGATGCCAAGGCGTGCAAGGCACTGCCGTCCATGCCGAGGCAACTCTGCCTATACTGATTAGAAGCACAGGCCTGATGGATCTTGAATCTTGATGGTCTGCTTTAGCACCATCCGCACGGAAACCGGCACGGCTCGACTGATAAACTGCTTGGCCATCACACCCTGCAGGGGCCAGCGACCCAAAAGCGCAAGGTCAACACACGCGGCCTGCACGAAGACGGCTTCTACCGTTGCTCCGGGGCCGTGGCCAAGAACTCAAGCTGCTCCGGCATGATTCAAGATCTCACCAGTCCCAGCATCGTTTTGCGCAATCAGCTGGAGAGCTCTATGGCTACTGCCTGGTGGAGATTTACCTCAGACAGTCCCTCCTTGCGATACAAATCAGCAAGATCCGACGTCGACCTCAAGAAGAACCATGGTGCAGCAACCACCCGAAACTTCCAGGGCTTGTCCTGAAAGAAGTCGTAGAGGGCCCGAAGTTCCTGACTCTCGAAATCCGGGAAATTCACCAGCTCGTCAAAAATTAGGATGCTTTGCGGCCTCAGGTAGGGAGCAAGTGCGCGTAGAACCTCCAAAGCGGAGCTGTAGAGATCGCAGTCCACATGCAGCAGCCGCACCCAGGGGTCGCCGTCGCCGCTGCCCGCGGCCAAGCCCGCAAGAAAGGCGGGCAGTGTCTCGTTGAACCAGCCACGCACCAGCCTCACGTTACCTTCAACTTCGGGTTCCCTCTCCAAAGCAAAACTGCCAGTAGCAAAGGTCAGACCACCAGGAACATCCGAGTTACTTCGCCAAGCCGCTGGGAGGCCACGGAAAGAGTCGAAGCCGAAGACCAGCGCGCCTGGATCCACGCTGCGCAACTCGCGGGCTATGAAGTTGATGCTGGCCCCCTCGAAGACTCCGAATTCCAAATACATGGGCCGCCCTCGAATTCCCTGTTGTTGCCGTAGCTGCCACAGCACCTTGGCCAGGACGTAGGGAGCCCCTCCATTGCCCCAAGGCATTTGGAGCGTCGGTGTCATCAACAATTCATCTGCCAGCATCCGCCAAAAGTCTGGGAAGGAGTGGCCAACGGATGAAAGGAGAGGTCGCTGTGGAACATCCTTGCCTTCAGCCTGCCAGCAGCCCAACAAGGACGAAAAGCTCGTGGAAGCATTTGCCAAGATGTCCAGATATTTCCATCTTTCCAGCAAAGAGCAGCTCTCAAGCTTCCTGCTCTGAAGCTCCTCATCCTGGGCTCTTGTCAGGGAATCGAACTTAAGTGATACCCTAATACGGATCTCAATGGTAAGTAACAAGTAATACGGTTTCATTAATAGGGTAACTTAAATTAACTTGAACCCCTTAAGAAGAGCCCAGCATCCTCGCTCCAGTCGCTCCAGAGGCGCCAAGAAGCTGCCAACTCCCTCGCCCGGGCCAGGTGCACCTGGCGCAAGAAGGTTCCCTGCTTTTGGAGGCCATGGGCCACTTCCGCCGCGATGAAAGGCAGTGGACATCTCCTGGGCTCTTGTTATAAGCGGATTTAATTTAAGCTACCATAGTAATGAAACCATCTTACTTACCATAGACCCGCATTATGGTAACTTAAATTATATAAATCCCCTTAACAAGAGCCCAGTCTCTGGAAGGGCTCGAAAAGATGCGCCCAGCCAATCGCCCCTGCGCCCACACGCCGGCCAAATCCTTCGAGGTAGGCGTCCAGGACCAGGCTCAGCAAGTGAGGGCCTTTCTCTTCTCCCCGCGATGCCCAAACGTCTAGGGCCTCTGGGAGTACCAAGCTCTTGCTGCAGAAATCATCTGCAACAGCGCTTGCGAGACAAGCTACAGCAGTGAGGCGAAGCACACACATGCCATGAGCTCCAGGAATGGCAAGGTCAATAGGCGTATGTTCTAGATACACTTTAAGCCTTTAAGCTTTACATGGGCCCCACATGCCTGGCAGTGCAAGAGAGACAGTGACGCATTGCTAGACCCCTCGAGGCCATGCCAACGTCGAATCCGACGACATTGCTTCTATGTCCCGACATATACTACCCACCTGCATACCTACCTACCTACTTACCTACCTACCTAGCTGGCTAAGAGTACAATACTCCGACAAAAGACCCCGTCCCCTCCTCCAGAAATACTAATTAGTAATAATACCCCTACCTCACTCTCACGACCCCCAGCAACAATAACACTAACAGACCATTAAAAACGTTGCAAAGCCCCAGGGCTCTGAACCATGAAGCCCTTTTGCCGGAATTCCTTAAACCCCACGAAGACCAACCTTGCCAGTAAGAATCGCCGATCTTACAAAACCCAAACCGAGGTTTAACCCTACACATAAGCTTAGGAGTTTCAGACGAAGGACCCGGAAGCAGGGACGTTTTAGTTTCTGAGACCCATCCTGGTCTTCCTTAAGATCCCTTTAGGACCCTGCTAAACCCCTTCTTGAACCCCCCTCCACAACAACTACCGAACACATGACATCTCTGAAGCCTCGTTCTTCTTGACCCTCTCCTAAAGCCTGAGCTTGCCATAAACCATGAGAAACCTTTAACCCCAACTAAACCCTACTCCCTACACCCGCCTAAAAGGTACCCTAACGCCCAAACGAGCTGGCCCTAATAATTAGAATAGGGTTTGGGTGTTATACTCTAGGAAACCCCCACAACCCTACTCTAATGATTAAGGCCCCTACAACCACGGTGCTGGCCTCGGGCTCCTTCTCCAAGCTTTGCAGCTCCTTCCGGGGCGCCGCTGCGTGGGCGGGTCTTTGGCTCACGGCATCGGCCTCCTGGAACGGGCTCCGGGGGGTTTGGGGATTCTAGGGGTGTGGGGTTTACAGGCTTCGGGGGTTTGGGGGGTTTAGGGGCTTCAGGGGTTTGGGGGGTTTAGGGGTTTGGGATTTGGGGTTTTGGGTTCAGGGGCTTTGGGGGTTTCGACGCTCACACTCGCACGCGGCAGGCAAGGCTCCACGGGGGTTTAGGGTTTAGGGGTTTGGGGGTTGAGTTCTTGGGGGGCTTTAGGCGTTCTTTGTTTTGACGGCCTGAGGGCTCTGGAGTCTAGGGGTATGGGGGTTCGGGTTCAGCTTGAGGTTTTGGATTCATATAGGGGTAAGGCAAGTTCGGAAAGAGAACCGGACCACGGGTCCAGTTACTATTGAAGGCGGGGTTTCGGCGCTCACACTCGGACAAAAGGCGGGGTTTAGGGTTTGGGGTTTAGGGCTTAGGGCCTACACTAAGTACGATGGAACCCTGGGGTTCTAATGCCAGGTGAGGTTTAAGCTTTAGGGTACTTTGTCATGCTTCCTGGTACTGCCGCTACCCATCTCAATGCACAAGGCATGGACTCTCAGGCGTTCGGATCAACAACTTAATGTAGAGGCCGTAGTTTTTTTGTCATGGTTGGAAATGGATTTCGGGAGGCTGCATTGGCAACTGTCTAGGCTTCTATGTCAGGTTGTTGTCCTTAAGGTTCGGGATTACAAATCCTAGACCTGAATACGAGGTACCGGGTCTCTGTAGACCATCATGTAGAGCAATCCCCTCCCGTGTGACTTCCAGATTTCCATTTGAAAGCTGCCCCGGTCAATCCGAAAACCCGAAACCGCACTTCGGCACTGGGGTGCTTGCAATATCCCCGTCGTCACAGGCATCCTCGGACATGAAGAAACGTGGGCTTCGGGTGGCATGGGGCTGCACGGTACGGCTGGCGGGTATTTAATACTTGTTTTCCAGCATTGTAGAGTTTCAGGGTCATGAGGTTTCGTGGTTTGCTGAAGCCTGTGGAAAGTCCTACAACCCCCAAATTCCCCAGCCTGCAATCCTTAATCTTTGCTGCGCTGGAAAAGCGCTTCCTGAGCCCTGTAACCCTGTAAACCTCTGCCCAAACCAAACCCCCTACAAACTGCAAACACACGATGTAAAACACCTTCAAGACATGTGCGGACATGTTCTCCTACAGCGAGCCCACCTGAAATCTGCACACTGATTCCAAGGCTCACCCCTGGTAGAACTTTAACAACAAAAAATAACCTCCAAATTCACGAGCCCGCAAGCCCCAACAAAAAAACCTAAACCCTCAACCCTTAATCCCAAAACCCTACACCCAAATCTGTTGCCAACCTCCAAAGAATCTTCTGCTGCTGCCGAGGCTCGAGAGGGGGTGGAGGCGGGGGCAGGTCGGAGAAATGCTGCGCACCTCGCTCATACAGAAAGGCCTGAATAATTAGAACAAGGTTTGGGGGCATACGATACTATATTTATGATAAGGAACCCCGAAAACTAGTGGTGGTAATCATTTTGGCCCATATCTTCGGGCTTTCGGGTTTCCTTAGTGGCTTTGGGCTTTCGGGTTTAGGCCTTTCGAGGCTCACACTCGCTCGCAGCAGGCATGGCTCCATGCGATCCGCAACGCGATACGACGGCAACCAAAGGCATCCAAATACAGGCGCATCTAAAACCACTTACCTCCCTCTTGCCCTCGATCGCCGCCACGACTACTGTTCACAGGGACTCTGCCGCGAGTTACTTCAAAACAGAACATCTCCAACATCTCGCCGCATTCCCAGTAGCGGTATATTCAAACAGAACAGAAGTGCAAGTCTACACAAAAAGACCTACACATAGTGTAGCAGCCCATAGTAAGAGCAGGAAGACATCAAAGAGAGCCCAGCACGCCAACATGACTCAGAGCTTTGGAGCTGAGGCTTTAGAGCTCAGGGTTGCGACTGTAGGCTGCAATCAGCCGTTGGGTAGGGCGTAATACAACTCTTGGAAAGCTATGCTAAGCCTATGCCTGAGCATGGCCTTTGAAGGCTTCGGAGTATTTGCCGCTTGCACTGCTTTGATCGGGTCTGTCAGGGTCAGGATGATGCCGGGGAAGGAGTACGCACCAGTCTGAGGAAACCTCAAACTGATGACTCGTCGCCAACAGAAAAACGGCTCTCCCGCTAATACCAGTGTTTAGGGCTTGGGGTTAGGATTTGGGAGCACCGTCAGCCGCAGGGTCACAACCCCTTGATATGAGAAGCTAGTGACCCCCAGAAGCCTAGTCGTGACGAACCTCCCTTCAGGTAATTGTTCGTTGCTGCGGGGAGCGTTTAACATGCGTGTTTGGGGGCAAGCACCACGTGCGAGAAGCCTCAAATCAACTGAGGATTCCTCTTTTGAGGTGAGATTGTATTGTTCGTTCTTTGGGTTGTGGGTTCAGTCTGGCGGTTGCAATCTCTCTTCATTAGGTCGCGCCTCGATCATGCATTGCATCAGGGCACTTCCTTTGTTATGCTTCCAAAACGAGGCACAGCAGCCCCAAACTGAACTGAAGCCTTGAATCCCAGTCCCGAATCCCTAATATGGGTAGTTGTCAAACTTATGGCCCCTTTTTGGGTACCCTAAATATTAAGTGCCGTATTCTAACAGGGACCCAAAAAGGGACCGGAATTTTGACAACCACCCATATGTTAAGCCTTAACCCAAAACACGATGCCCGGTGAAACCTTACGGAGGATGTTTTTGCGCATGAAGCAGGAAGCTGTTGATGCACTCCCGCAAAAAAACATGAGACCCAGAGCCCAGCGCAGAACCCTAACCCCGAAGCCTGAAGCCATAAAATACCCTAACCCAAATCCGAACTGCCCCTAAGCCCTAGAACCCTACACCCTTCAAACAAACACAGGAAGCCTGTCAGACAAGGAACGGCAGAAACAGCCAGCGCCCTCAACTGTAATCCCTTAGCCCGGAACCCTTCGAGATCCTTCATCGAACCCTTACCGGAACCCTTGCGTGTAGTACCATCAAAGGAAACACTCAATTACCCCATTACAAAAAGAGGCTCGCCCCCCCCTGCCCTCCTAAACCCTAAACTCCGATTGTGCAACTGGGCTTGAGGGACTAGCCAGATCCTTGCATCGAACTCCCAAAGCCCTAAACCCTACAGCCTTTTTTTGCAGCAGGCGCTCTCTAAACCCTCAACCCTGAACCCCAAACTCCTAAACACCTAACCCCTCAATATGCTAAACCCCCCGACTCCCAGATCCGGCCTGAGGTGTCCGCAGCGTCCTGCAAGGCCTGCTGGGAAAGAGCATGCTTGTTTTCTTTTCTCTGCAGAAGGAACTGTTTTCTGGGTTTCTGGCACAGGGTGTTCCACAAGAGTTTTGTAGGCTTGATATGATTTTGCTATATAAAGTTTAAGAAAATTCTGATCGGGGTTTAGAAAGGTTTTATCAAGGATTCGAAAGGTTTGATAGCGGCTCGACAAGGGCGTTAAAGGTTTTGGCGGAATCATACAAGGGTTCGGAAGGGTTTGGTTCGTTAAAAGTTTGGGTGTGTAAGGGTCCGGATCTAGGGAACGCAGGCTTCAGAGGGAAGGGTGCCTTCCTTCGCTTTCTGACGGTTGATCTTACAAAACTAAAGACTGGGTTTGGCCTTTACTGTTTAGGTTTGGGGCATTAAGGCTTCAAACCCTTCTGAAGTTGAAGGGTGCAACCGCGGCTTGGCTTTTGGGGTCCTAATCGTTCTGTGAGAGGTTTGGGGTTCAGGGTCTCGGGTGCAGCTGATTTCTGCAACCTTACAAGACAGGCTTTCTGGTCCCCCTCTTAAACGCCAACCACTCATCCGAGCAAAAGTATCACTGTAGTTGATCCCATGTTTGCGCAAAGCCCAAAACGGAAGACTGGCCCAGGCAAGGAGAATATCGAGGCATTTGCAATCAGAATAGGATTTTGGAGTATGTTATACGATCATGTCAAGGAGCCCTGAGGTATTAGATCAGCAAGCATTCAGATTTAGAATTCAGACCCCGATATTACAGAAGATGACTCGAAGAAGCAGCAGGGCGATGCAAAGAGTGGTGATGGTCGTGGTCGTGACGGTGATATCTGGTGATGAAGATGAGAAGAGTGCTCGCAACGGTCCTAATTGTGGTCCGAGTGTCAGGATCGCCTAGAACTGCGAAAGATATAGGAGAATGCCGATAGCACTGGTTATGCTGATGATGGCTGCTCTGGTCGCCACTATGCTTGCGACTGTCTTCGCTGAAGACTTGGTCTTGTCGTATCTGGTTCCTGACTTCTTGAATTTGACCACTCCTCAACCCCCAACCCCCGGCCATAGAACCCCATCGGAGGTTTCTGGGAAGCTCTCATCAACACACTATAGAGTTTCGGGGCTCACACTCGGACAAATAGAGTTTAGGGTTTACGGTTGTGCTGCCACCCAACTCCACCGCACCTGATCAAGCGAGCCGTCTTCGAGCTTGGAATACATGGCCAACCGCACCCTGGCCACCAAAGTTGGTGTCTCAAGTTTAGGGTTTAGGTCTGGGGCGTGGGGTTTGGGTCTTGTCAAATTTAGATTTTCACGGGGATTAAAGCTTGAGGACATCTCGTCTAAGTGATAGCCGTTCGCATAGAATGGACGTTCGATGTTCTAACAGCAAAAACACGACTCAAAAATCAAAGCGGAACTCAATGGCCAAACTAGCAACAGTGGCAATCAACACCAAATCCAAAACAGCTGTGACGACGGGTATTGACTGCAGTAAGCAATGACAAACGGCTGGTCATACTGCGGAGATCATACAACAAGTTTGAGAGCAGCACACCACCACCTTCACAGGAAGACCACTCGTCAGGCTCGTGGTGATAAAGTGGCGATATGCTCGGTCTTCCTCAAACACAACCGCACGACCCTAACACCTTTTGGTAAGGGAGCACTAGGGTTCAGGGCTTCGGGTTCCACGCTTTTGGCGGCGAGTCTCGGTAAGGCAGTCGGGGTTCGGTCTCGAAACCTGGAAAGGTGAAATTTGGTCTGACTGGCCAGGCTTACCCTCTTCCCCAATGCCTGTGTCAGTCTGATTAGTAGCTTTATCCGGCGAAGCTACAAGTAGGAGTATTCCTGGGAATTCAAAACTCCGAAAGGGTGTGGAGGCTGGGCCTTGGGATTTTAGACTTTAGCGATCAAGGGTTCTACAAACCCTCTTTGCAGCGGGCGTGCCCCAAACCTAGAAGGCCCAAACCCTTTTGCACAGACTTGTATACGCCCAAACCCAAACCCTAAACCCTACAACCGAAACCCCGAAACCCTAAAGCCGCTTTGAGGCCCGCACCTGTCTTTCAGCGATCCCAACTCTTCTTCCTGGGACACGGGCACTATGGCATCAGGAAGAACCATGTACAGGGTTTGAGGCTTTTCTCCCTCGTACTTAAGGCTTAGGGCTTAGGATTTCGGGTTTCTGCGCTCACACTCGGACAATCCAGGCGAGGCATATGGTTCGACTCAAGTGGGAATGTCAAAGCATCATCTGAAGGCCAGCATATCAACACATGCATTCCCCTCCTAGAATCCAACGGTACTATAAGGGAAGTTCGGCTAGTATGCCAATTCCAAAATTGGATTCTAGGGACTCCTCTCGGCAGATCACACAGGGGTAAAGGTTCAGGATTGAAAAGTGAAAGGTGTCAAGGTCTAGGGCTTGCAGCTTAAAGGTTTACCTGCAAGGTTGGGGTTTTGGGCTCATTTGCTCGTAACTGCAGTGGGTGTAGATGCAATAGAAACCTGTCCGGATGACAACCATCCTAACCCTGCAGTCAAATACAATAGTGTAATGATACAAAATCAGCGCACAGAACACTAGAAGCAAAGCCTGTGGCAGCCAGAACGGACCGCGTCGTCAGAAAGACTAAACCAGAAAAACGACTAAATCCTAAGCAAGCATCCCGCACCTGAAACTGGATAGGAGGTCGCACACCCTAAACCCCCCAGGACCCAGCTCACACCTGCATGCCCCTTCTTAGTTCAATCCGAAACAATCCAAAGCTATTAGGGTCCATCCCGAAGCCCCGAGGCTACGCAGGGTCCCGACGCCTCGGCGTGCCCCGGGCGGGAAGCATCCTGCGGCGTAGCCTCGCGCATCATCGCGGCCAGCATTTCCTGGAGGCTGGGGTGCTTTTAGGGTTTAGGGGTCGTGCGGCTTAGAACTTGGGGGAGGTGTTGACCGTAGGAGCTTCAGCCTCCAGGCAGAGGGAAGCCAATGGCGGGTTGGGCTATTCCTCACTGATTCAACAAACACCCTAAGCCTCCTCGGTGCTACTTGGAGGATCAGGACACTCAGTGAATATGGTTGAAAGCACTTTGAGTACTGCTATAAGTGCTGATAAGTATAGCCTGTATAGCTAGTCCGTATAGCTAGCCTCCTTTAGCCCGAGACGTAAATCCTGAGCCTAAACTGCATCCGAATCTTCGTGTGCAGCGGACTCGACACCTGTTTTGGAACCCAGAACTCCTTTGCGGAGGGGCCGGGCTTCTGGCCCTAAACCGGAATCCCTCAAGCCCACAAGCCAACAAAAGCGGGGATTTGGCATTTGGGTCCGGGCGTTCGGGCCTACCCGCGCCGTCAGCTCCACAACTTTTGAAGAGCCACATGAATGTGACAGGCGTTGAAGTTGGTACAAGCTCAAACCCAGACGCTGCCTGTGTCAACTCCTCACCATCCGTCCCAGATGCTGTCATCACACCCGAAAACACCTTGGACGGAGGCGGGCGTCTTTGGAGGCAATTTTGGCCGTCACCGGGCAGGCCTCGTCCTGAATAGCCCCGTCTATGCTGTGCAAGCTACAGCAGCCCTATCAGCCCGCAACCCCCGAAATCAAACATGCATAGATGGGCAGACAATCAAAACAACTTTAGACAGACAGGTAGGCAGCCATCAGCAATTACCTTGATGGATGAAGGGGTAAACAAAATCACAAGACAATACTTGACAATACCATAGGCTTCCAGCGTGCTTGCAGGTGTGTATGCATGCATGTATCTAATGTATGTATTGATGGGTGGTTGCGCCTGTACCCGTACACTCTATACTTTCTAGCACAGTGCACAGCTTAGGTTGGAACGCTCAACAGCGACGTGCGGCTTTCGCCACGGGCCTGGCGCACCAAGCTCAGGTTCAAGCAAAGGCTTGTTTCTGTCAATTCGGTGGCGCTCACCTTCTGGCAACGCCAGGCAAGGTCTGAAGCCACAACAAGACAGAGAAAGACACATGAGCTAAGCTGCCGATCCGATTCACTCATGTAGCCCCTGCTGTCAACTGAGGTTAAGCGACAAGCACAACAACTAACAACTGCTAGCATGTAAACCCCCCGTGATAGCATCTTTACCCACCCGCGGACAGCACCAGGACCCTCATGAATTGCATGCAGTGTTCAGAAACTGTGGTTGGAGAATGTTGGAGACATACGACACAGATCGAAGAATCCACACAGGGAGTAAACAACAGAAGCCGTATGGGAGTTTCCCAAAACAGGGGATCCTAATACAGTACCCTAAATTAATAGTAGGATCCTTATTATAGGGACCCCAAAATAAGGTACCCCTAACTTTCGGAAACTCCCGTATCGCTCCAGCATTGGGCTGCCGCATCGTACTTCACAGTAGAATCTCAAGGTACTGAGTTCGGGAATCCACGCCTCTTACTCAGCACCCCCACATTACCGCAAGGATGGGGCCCGAGTAACTAGAAGAGGTGTTGCGGAGTACAGTACCGTAGAACAGTAACGGTATGATAGACAGAGACTATAAAGGAACCCTTATGGATCCCTCAAAGGTACCCTCAAAAGAAACCTCCAAGGGCGGAGGATTACGAAGTATTCGGACACCCGCAGTAGACCCCGAACCTTGATCCTTCGAATAAGAGGCTCCATGTGAAAGCCTACACCCAGAAGAAAAGGGCTTAGGGTTTAGGGCCTTACACAAAATAGGCAAAACACTCAGAGCCCAGTCCCCGCAGACCATCTTACACTCTGCAAAGAACACGTATGGAACAGTTATGGAACCCTTCTAGCGTCCCCCTCTGGGAAGCCCATAAGACGAAAAGCCTCTGCCGCGGAGAGGACTGAAGTGAGGATGGGGAACAGCTGGTCCTCGTGCGCAGTCGAGGCTTTGGTTTTGGGCTGAAGGGGCTAGGGTTGAGGGTTTAGGGTTCAGGGTAAGTGGTTAACAATCAAGCTAGGCCTTGTGGGGTATGTTATCGTATATCAACATAGGGACTGTCAGGTCATTTTCCAAACTCCACATGCAAAAAATCCGGCAAGCAACTCGGAATCACCAGAGGCTTCCATACATCTAGTTGCCGAGAGAAGCCCAGCTTTTTGACACACTGGCCGAAAAGATTTGAAGAAGGCTTCGCAGTAGATCGTGGAAAGATTCACCGAATGAAAAAGAAACCTCTATTGTGTATAATTAGGCTTGTATAGGGTTCACGGTTTAGGGTTTAAGGATGTTTAAGGTGCAGACCTCTGGACCCAATCCGATCTGCCACGATACAAACCCCCCCGCCCCGCAACTCAGGCGCGTGCGGAGTCAGCTGTGAGCCTTGGCCCAAGAGCTCAAGACGGCTTCGACTCGCACTCTCGCTTAACGCAGGCACGGCTTCATGAGGTCTGACTCAGGACGGTTTAGGGTTGAGGGTTTAGGGTGTAGATCAGGCTTCCCGGTGCAAACATTTAAGGCTTGGGGTCTGAGTTTTGGAGTCTGTTCGCCCACCTTTGCCACTTCCGCTTGAGGTCCTAAAACCCTCACCCCACACCTCAAACTGAAGCCCCGCCTCTTCCGCTTGAAGTCCTAAAACCGCAACCCCACACCTCAAAACTGAAGCCCCAACCTCGAACCTGGTTGTCTTCTCACCAAGTGCAAAACGTTGTGATCTGTTGCTCGGCGACAACCAGACGAAAGGCCACCTCAGAGCAGGGCTGAAATACTAAATCCCAAACATTAGTACTGTTCTTAGTCCAGGGATTTCGGATTTAGGTTTGGGCTGTGGGGTTTAGTAAAGACAACAACTAAGGTTTGCACAGTGGCTTGAATAACCAGAATAGGGTTCTGGGGTATATTGTGCTGCAACTAGGGGCTTCCTTTGACATAACTTCGGTATACGGATTCTGTATGCAACAGAACGACTGAACACTCAAATTTGGACGAACTGGACACTTGATGTCCGGCCGCTGAACGTGTAAATCTGGACGACTGCCAGATCTGGACAAACTGAACACTGAATTTTGGACGACTGCACATGTAAACCCGGAAGACAAAACACCTAAAATCTGGACGAAATGAACAACTATTTCTGGACGACTGCACAGTGTTCGGTCCATAACTGAACATGCACTCACTCGGGCCGGATAAGCGTTCAGATGTCCTTGTTTTGGTCCAAAACTGGACGCTTATGCTGGGCCGGATAAACGTTCAGTTCCAAATTTTCTGCTTAAAACCTAAAATCACACAGACGATCGTGTTCACCAGAACAATAAATGTTCAACCCTGCAGATGGCATGAGTGTACAACCCACCGACTCATGACCCGGCTGGGCCGGGATAAGATGCCTGTGTTCAAGATGGCATTCCCGGGAACCCTCAAAGGGACCCCGAAACCCAGATGCCTCTTCGAGAGACGATAGGATCTCCTCGTCGGTCGCGTTGAAGACGTCCATGTTGGAGATGCGGAAGTAGCCCTCCACCTTTGAATGTAATGTAGCGGCTTGAGTAACTAGACTAGGGTGCCTGTGTGTATTGCAGCATAGTCACCTCAAGGAACACTGAAGAAACGTGCTGGTAAATACGCCGGTCCCCTACCTTTAAGTTGCAAGGGCTTCGGGTTTATCGGGTTTAGGGTTCAGGACTCAGAACTCGCGGTGTTTCAGGGCTTCCGTGTTGCATCTAGGGGTTTCGAGGGTTGAGGGTTACGGGCTTTGTCTAATCACGACCCTTTTTCGGCTTCGCAGAATCCGAGAAGCGGTATTTCCGCTGGGCGTCTGAAAACAACAGCATACACTGACACTTCCCGCGGGTTTCGAAGGGCCTCGGCCTTAAGGCTTTTGGAAAGCTTTTGCGGGTCTTTATCAGGTTCTGCAGGGCTTCTTGAGGGTCTTAAAAGCTGCAGGGTGTTCCGGATGCGGCGTGTAGGGTCGTACGCTCTGTTCAGCACTCACCACTGGGACAAGAGGGTTTACGTTTCTTGAAGTGCAATGGACTTCAGCCAGCCTCAAGCCCATCATCTTCGAATGTGTGCTGACAAAGGAAAGCAGACAAAGCGCTCCAATGGTCTCACTCTCATTGTCGTCAGGCTCAATCAGTCCCCTTCATCAGCATCATCAATCTCGAATTCATCTCCCAGGTCATCATCATACGAACGGCTGGAAGTCGTGATTGGGGCTTACGGTTTTGGGCCCAGGGCTCCTTTGCAAATCTTGTGCCGTAGGCTTCATGAGGAGCACTTCTGCGAAAAAAGCATGGCTTTCGGAAAATATCATGCTGTTACAAAGCGTGGATGGCCCGGAAGCTTGCTTCTAGGGGCTCCTATTCTACCGGGCTTACATAGCCCGTCAACCTCGAACCCTAAATCCTAAACGTGTTTCGATAGACAACTTGTGGTATGCCTTGCAAGTGGTCATCGTGCGAGACGTTTCAGATACCGGCTCAATCTCAGGGGTTTCGGCGCTCACACTCGGACACAATCCAGGCGAGGCAAGGGCTTAGGGCGTACGGGCTTGAAGGATCTTGGGTTTAGGGTCCTAATGATATTCCAAGGGGCATCTTGAAGTTTTCCCCCTCGACACCGACCCAGAACACTAAGATCCCTAACATCTCCCATGGTAAAGCCTTATCGAGTCAAGGGCTCCGTATATTCCAAACCCATATACCCTACGGGTGGTGCACCTAGCCTGGGCTCCTGACTAGATGAGATTTCCACAGTGTAATCATACGGTACTTAGCCCCAAGACACTTTTCTAACTATTCAGCCCTCTGCACCCTTTTACACCTGGACTATGGCACCCTGGACCCTAAACCCCTCTACACTACCTCCCACACTGGATCTGGGTTTTCGGCACTCTCAACGTTTTTTCTGGACCTTACGGAGCCCTTGCAAGCCACGTTGTCATTTTGTTTGGCTCTTGTGGCGGGTCATTCATCGTCAACAAGACTCGGGCGAAAAACATAATCGCAACTCCCAGTGATGATGATCATAATCGCAATGGTGGTGGCGATAATAGCAGGAATGGCAAACTTTCCCGTTGAAGGGAAAGCATGATAGAACAACAGTCCATCAATGGAACGGCTACTGTAGGAACCTGATTAAGAAACCCTGGGGCCTACAACCCCAAATGAAGGCCCAAGCCCGTCGAGCCAGACTCGTCACGAAGCCCTATGACCTGTTTGAAGCCCTGAATTCCCGAAGAAACTAATGTAGGAACCTTGTTAAGAAACCCTGGCTCGTTCTTTATTGGGGGTATTCTATGAATCCTACTGTTCGGGTGCTTTGGGGCCAGGGTGCCTTAATCAGGTTCCTGCATTACATCCAAAATCCACAAGCCCTAAAACCCCACCGTCGAGGGCCTAGGACAGATCACTCAAAAAATCTTTTACAACCCAAACAGTATACAGCCAAACTGGCCTCCTTACCGGAGGCCAAAGTGGAGACTGCCTCCACCTGGACTCAGGGCTTAAAATTGGGGTGTTCCTTACCTCTCGCACTGCTAGGAGCTATGTCCGCTGGTGAGGTGTGATTGGGCCTTTGAAGAAGTGGTTTCGAAAACGTACAAAATGGCAGTTTACACACGACACAAGCTAAAAAAGGCAATGCTCAGGCATATGGCCAGAGAGTTACATTGTCATCAAGACGAGGAGGAAGCCGAACAGTCCCTTGTGTGTGCCTCCGTTCCGTCTCATTGAGTGTCTCAACAGGTGCGTTCAGGGCTTAGGGTTCCTGGTTGAAGGGCTTGGTATGCATAGTTTCGGGCTTAGGGTTTAGAGTCTGCTCGCGGTGCAGGCTCCAGAAAAAGCAACGCTTTCGACTATCTCTCGGACATAGGCGAGGTTTAGGGTTTATGGTGTAGGGTTTAGGGTGAAGCACAAGTTCTTATTCTTTGCCCACATTCCACATCGGTAGCCGCGATGGACCATAGAGCAAGATATGTCAAGAGGACCCCAGTGTGCAGGATTCGCACCACGATCATACAGTGAGCCGGATCGCTCAGGGAGGACTTGCACGACATGACAGTGTATATAATTTAATAGAAGTAGAAGTAGTAGTAGTAGTAGTAGTAGTAGTAGTAGTAGTAGTAGTAGTAGTAGTAGTAGTAGTAGGTAGTGGTAGTGGTAGTAGTGGTGGTGGTAGTAGTAGTAGTAGTAACTGTACTGGTCATACCAGCAACAGGAATAGGACTGAGCTCCAACAAAGGGACCTACAGTTTGTGATGAGCCGACTGTGGGGAGACTAAACAAAGCCGAGTAGCGATCGAGCAGTACAAACGACCCCTTGACCATAAACTGCAAACCATAGGCCGCCAACCCTACCCTACCTCCATGCAACCAGGGATCAACTCTTGACAACTAAAGGACCTTAAAATGTGTTCTTAGAGACGTCAAAAGCTTTTGCAATTTACAACTTTACACGTTAAACACAAAAACCTTGCAGACCTGAAAAAAGGCCCCAACCGCCAAACCGGAACTCCCTTCAACCCTCGCCGGCCCGGGGCCCACCTTCACGCGCCTCAAGCCGGCCCAAGACCTCTTTTCGCGCTGAGAGTTTGGGGGTTCAGGATTTAATCCCTAAACCCCATGGATCCCCATGGGCTTCGGTGAGCTTCAGAGCTTCAGAGCTTCAGGGCCCTGGGCCTCCTAGGTTGGGTCTTGCTTTGCGCTTGTTCCCTCCGAGCAAGGACGAGGCCACAGTGCAGGGCACGAGAACAGGGTTTAGAGCTCAAGGTATCGGGCAGGGTTTAGGGTTTCGGGTTGGGCGGGGGTTCTGTAGGGATTTACCGGGTGGTTTATGGGTCTCTAGCTTACCGGGTTTTGTGCTTGGGGTTGAACCGATAAAGTGTGTAAGGTTCTTTGGGGTTCTGAGGGTTTGCTGCTTGGGGTTCAGAGCTTCCGTTGGAGTAGGGGCTGCAGCACCTTATGGTCTGAGTTGTGGCTAACCCAGCCTGAACCCTGAACCAGCCATTAAAAAAGCTATGCAGGCATACTCGGTGCATGCCATTACTAAGCATTCAGACCCCGCCATCCCTTATCAACACAACCCTTCTGCCAATAGTTCAGAACAGATCTCTATCCTAAACCCGAGAAGAAAGTGATCCCGAGGTTCCTCCCTGAGCCCCGTGAAAAGTGCCTCCAGCTGCCTGCGGCGCTGCTTGGATGGGAGGCCTCGGACGTTACTGAAGCACATCTACACCGAAGCAAACAAACTTGCTCAGAGGAGCCCCGAATGGTCCAGCAGAAGTCTAAACGGGCAGCCAGGGCTGTTGCCTGAGGTTTTAAAGGTGTCCAGAGGGGTCTAAGAGTCGCCTAGAAGGGAGGGTTCAGGGCATCAGGGTTTGTTATGCAGCTTGCTATAAGGATCCACGGGGTTCTAAGGTTTCCATACTGGTTTTCGGTTAGCAGCGTTCTCGGTGTTGTCCTTACCTTTTGCCGGCTGCTCGTCCGCGACTCGGTGTCGAATCCGACGGCCCGTCCACGCGAAAAACGTGCTGGACTTTCTCATAACATTACCCACCACTAGGCCCTGAATGTTTACGGTAACATAGTGATCGGGATGCAGGCTGAGGGCTTCAAGTCGTTCGGATCTAGCGGATTCTTGGTTTTGGCCGGAAGGTGCGGAATTATTGTGAGGACGCTTCTCGCCACTTGTGCTACACAGCCAAGAAGTCAGAACTCGACGTTCTTCCCGCTGTAGGGCTTAGGGCCTTAGGGGTTTTTAGGCCCGAGGGTTTAGGGTTTAGCGCCACCTCTGACCGCTCCTCCACTCCTGCGACCTCTCCTCGGCCCAGCTTGTTCCGGGCCAAGGCAACTCTCGTGTGGAGTATCGCAGCTGTTGCCGCAACACCTACGCAAGCATAGCCCAAAAGAAAAACAAGCCGGGCGTGTTTCTGAATTTCTTTGTGTTTTCCACGATGTGGTTGTCCGCATGGAGCGATTCGAAGCTTTCAGGACTTGAAGCTTGGTCGCATGATTCAAGACTAAGCCCGCAGTTCAAAGCCAGATAGAACGGCACTAGGAACGAATCACCATAAGCACGCTGACCGTCAATAGCGTCGCGACCATCATCAACATATGCACCAGCATCGAACAACATCCGCGCAAAAACCATCGTCAAGAGCACCATAGCCATGCTATTGCAGGCACACTGTTGGCCCTACAGGGCTAGAGACATTTCGAAGAATACACAGATTAGGTTTCCGGAAAAGCTAAACCACACTGATACATCATCTAAATTTCGAAACCGTAAATAAACGCCAGTAGATAATAAACACTGCTTTAAGGATCTATAGCAACCTTCGAACGCTTATCGCAAGCCTCGAAACGTATCCCTTATAGTATATGACCCTGTGGTGGTAAGCCTCATAGCGAGCCCAATGAAGCCCTTACCGTAACCGTTTTGGCACACACTCTCGTGCAGTGACACGTCCGAGCTCTGCTGCTTCCATGGCTGCCAGCCGCGGGAGCTTTAGCAGCACGCTGGCCTCCGGCCGACTGTTCCAGGTTTCACACAGTTTTTCTGGCTACAGAGGCAAATATATGCGGTACATGCATACATACTTGTATATGTGTGGGTGGAAGGGGGAAGGGAAGCAGGGGAGGGAGAGGGAGGAAAGCAGGGAGGGAGGGGAGGGAGGGGAGGGAGGGGAGGGAGGGTGAGGGGGTGATTGGGGAGGCAGAAAGAGCCAGCGAGACAGACAGAGAGCGCGAGGGAGAGAGAGAGAGATCCAGAAAGAAGAGAAGCGATCGACACGAAGACATGCACCCTGACGCAGATACACATATGCTGCAATCAACAATAGCGACAGCGCACACGCACACGCATACATACATTTCGACGAGATAGTTTGCAAACACCGGCATGCCTCCCAAAGCAATTACCCAAGACAGGCCTATAGAACCCCAGGAATGTAACCAAAATGGTTTGAAAACATTGAGAAACATGCGAGCTCCAACCTTCTGCCTTCTCGAGCGCGAGTACGCACCTCTTCTGGAATCCCTCAACCCTACACCCTTTCAATCAGCTCAGTGAAGCAGACTAAGTGCCGAAGTTTCCCCGGAGCTCTGGCCTGGAGAGCGGCACCCAGGCCTCATCACAGGAGGCTTGGAGTTCTGCAAAGCTGAAGCTGTTTTGATTTTGTTTGAGAGATCTCTTCTCCGTCTGCCAGTTTCCCTCGAGTCGGAAGGCTTAAGCGGTTCGGGGTTTAAGGTTTAGGGTTTGGGAAGCTAACATCCCGGCTTTCCAGAGCATGAGAAATGCCGAAGAGTTGAGATTTTGGGGCCTGACTGCTTAAACTCAGGTCTTGGTGGCTTATTACATACGTAGAGCTGGTTATTTATGTGTATATATGTATAAATATATATATATATATATACATATATATATATGTGTATATATATATATACATATATATATATATATATATATATGTACATACCTACCTACCTACCTGCCTGCCTACGTACCTATGTATTGGTTTATGCATGTAGTGGCCCATCTTACGCTCGTGTTTATCTTTACGTTTGTGTATGCGTGTAAATGTGTGTATGTATTGTGTAGGGAATCCCAATCACGAATAGTTCTGGCCCTTACAAAAACCCCACCATGCCCCAAACTAGCCCTCGACCATCCCATGTAAACCTACAAAAAGCACGGTTCTTGCTGGGACTTTAGGTGCTCCGTCGAGGCAGTCTCGGGAACCTGTCACCTGCAACTGCGTTCAGGACGGTTTAGGGTTTAGGGGTTCAGGGGTTTAGGGGTTTAGGGGTTTAGGGGTTAGGGGTTTAGGGCTTAGGGTTTAGGGTATAGATAGATAAATAGATCCCCTTTCTGTCCTGCGGACGTCTCTTCTCCGTCGCTGGTACCCTCAGGATCTGGAGTCTCGTAAGCCTAAACCCTGAGGCCTAAACGGCCCTGAAACCTTAAAACCCGAGAGCGCTGAACCCTAAAGCTCAAAACCCATTTTCGTTGAGGGTGAGACCCAAACCCTAAAACCCCCTTTGACAACAAAAACAAAACAAACAACTCCTTTGTTAACAGTAAAACTCTAAACCCTTCCTAGCCGTAGATCGATCGGTCGAGGCCAAGCGCGGTGTAAGTCCGAGGTCAGGAAGCCCAGGCGCTCCGATGTTGCAAAGGCCTCTCGAGTTTGGGTATCAGATTTTGTGACTTCGGGTTTCGGCGCTCACACTCGGACAATCCAGGCGAGGCAAATGGGTCGGAGTCTGACAAAGTGAAACGAACTAACGGATCAGTCATAGTACATAAACAACAAATGTCCAAACACTTTAAAATGACTGTATCTGCTTTGACTGCATCCCTCCCAAGATCCTACAGAATGAAGCAGATAGATGACAGGCAGGACCTTGGGAACCAGGTAGCTACACAGATCAGTCATTAGGGTTGGGAAGTAACGGTGGTGCCAAGATATAACAACAGAGGAATAGGGGTTTTGGGTTTAGGCTTGGGGTTTGGGGTTTGTGGGTCTTGGTCGAGGGCTTGGGGTTTGGGTATCAGACTCTTGGGTTTCGGGTTTCGGCACTCACACTTTCGGTGTTTAGGGCATTGTTAGAGCTGGGGATCAGGGTTTAGGTCTTGTCTGCACGGTTTGGGTGAAAGGTGCCGTTTCGGCAGGCTGGATTGAGGGTCGAGGATGGTGCAGGACGTCGGGATCTCTGCGCTTGATGCGCTGATGTGGCGGTTTCCTGGTCCGGCTCTCATTACTGGGCTGGGTGCCAGCACCCTGCGAAGCGCGGATTAGTTTGCTTCAATTATTCAATGCACATCGACGGTGCTGATGACTGCCGACACACATGCTTGATGCGCTCTAGGCTAACTTCAATGAACATCAGATGTTGGGAATCCTTGAGAGACTACCATGCCGCGCCATCAGTTCACTGTGAGAAGCTTCAACGACCCAGGACTCGAAACGAAGGGCGAAGAGCAAAACAGCGACTGCGGCAGCAAAAAAAAAGCCAACTGTCGATGAGATCTCACACAGGAACGCAGGTTTGGAGACTCCTGCATTCCGTGAGCTTCCGGCCCCTCGACCCTCCCATTGTGTTCTCTGCTCCACAGCAAGGAATCCGAACCGAGCAGTCCTCCGCTGAACGTCCGAGCGACTCCAGGCCCTCGGCCCTGGGCCGTCCCTGAACCCCTCCCCTCCAAGCCTCAAATCCTGAACCTTGTCGCACGAATTTGTTTCTCGCCGTGCACTTACATGGGCCCGGCGTCTCGGAACCCTAAACTCTAAAGTCCTAACCCGCGGTCCCGAAGTTGAAGAAGCCGTGCTCCGGGCCTCTTCTGCACCCGGTTTTCCCCGCTGGATGATCTGCCCAAGGCCATCGAGGGCTCTGACCAGCTTCCTGTCTGGGGCTTTCTTGAAAGGTTAAGAGGTGCTTCTTTAAGGGCTGCTAAGAAGGAATCTTGGAAGTCGTTGATGAAGTCAAATCTGCGTTAAAGTCTTGTAACGGATCTTACAGGATTTTCTGGTTCTGGGGGTCCTAGAACACCAGGCTTAGGTAGTTTGGGTTTTGGGCTAGCTTCCAATCGTCTGAATGTCGTCACGACGGTTTTGCGAGAGGTTGTGTAAGGCACTGCGGGATCTGAAATAGCTTACCGGATCCGCGTCCAGAGGTTTAGGGGTTTCGGGGTTTGGAATTCAGGATTGTGTGGGGTTCCATGGCTGCGGGTTCAGGGTTTAGGGCGGTTTGGACAAACTGCGTCCGCACAGCTGTCTGCGAGGGTCGGGTAGCGAACCAAAGCACTACATCTAATCCAAGACTCTGTCAAAGCCAACTGAGGCAGGAGCCGAGCAATGTAGATAAAGCGTTGACAAAACATTTTACACATGGTCTGCGGCCAAGCCACAATGGCGCTAGTCATTAGAACTGGGAACAGTTCGCTACAAACCGAGACCAAGCCCCGGGCGCACAGCGGTGATGCAAATGTGCGCATGCATATCTACATACAGAGTACCAACTGCATCAACACATGTACACATGCATGCCGCACCAGCCTTCCACAAGGGCCGACGACCAGAACACAGTGTTTGAGCTTGCCGGTGCCGCGAAACATGTCTTCAAACAATGAAGGTGCTTCCTCAACATGCCTCTGATTGCAATAAAGGCTTTTTCCTCTCGCAATGAAGGCTTTGGACCGAGGGCTTACAGTTTGGGGCCTTGGGGCCTTAACGAAACCCCAGACCAAGCAAACCCGAAAACTCCCAAACCCGAAAACTCCCGAACCCGAAAACTCCCGAACCCCGAAAACCCCCAAACCCTGAGTGCCTGTAGACTTTCCCCAAGCCATCGCCCATGGCAACAGAGACAATCGTCAGGTGCTCCTGGCACGGAGCATAATCTCTCTCCTTTCGGGGCTCCTATCCGTCGGGGTTCCTTTATGGATTCCTTTAAGGGATTCTTCTCCCTAATTTCCTCAACAAGAACTCGGAGCATGGAGGTCCCGGCATGACTAGCAATAGCATCCCCCTACAATCCTTGATTTTGTACAGCAATCACATACCCCGAAGCCTCAGCTCCCCATGTCACCTTACCGAAACCGCTCGGAGTGAAGCCCTTAACTTTCCGAGCTTTCGATGTCAACTTGACCCGACAAGACGCCACGAACTGTAAACCCGGAAACCATCCATCCCTTCCGGGGACGGCAGCGTAACAACGGTAAACCCAATTGGTTCAACCGTGAACCGTCAACACCCAATCCTGAATCCTAAAGCTCTGACAAAACATCCCTGAGAGCACTACGTAGGCCCTTATCCAACTTCTGAACCTCCAATTCTGAACACCCTTCTTTGCATCCAGGCCTGAACACCCTTTTTGCATCCTAAAACCCACAAACCGCGAGTCCTAAACCCACTACAGTAGCCCCGCAACCCTTAACCCCAAACCCCAACCATAGGAGTCTTAGCCAGAATTTCTTAGTACCAAAGCCAATATCTGGCATACAAGAACATGCAATTTATCTGGTTATTAACGCCCCAACACTTACCTTTGGTTAGTAGGGAATGGAGGAATGTGGTACAAGTAAAACTACTGTTACTACCATTTTTCTACCTGGGTGGTTGTCAAAATTAGGGTCCCTTTTTGGGTACCCTAGATATTAGGTGCCGTATTACACTAGGTACCCAAAAAGGGACCCTAATTTTGACAACCACCCACATGAAACTCCTGAGGCTCTGGGCGACCCCGACCTGCCGGTTCGTCCACACGGCCAAGTCGCGATCGGCAGAGGCAAAGACCTTCGCCGGCCCAACGCAGTTTTTTGAGGGCTCAAATGTAGAAGCCTCAATTAGCTGGACCAGGAAATATCTTTGGTGTGCATTATAGTGAGTCTCTGTGACGTTTCTGTGCTTCTATACAAGGATTCTGTAGGTTGGGGTCTACGGTTTGGGCCTTGGCGGTTTGGGGCTTATGTATAAGGGCTTGCGGCTTCGCTTGCCACGTGCTGTCTACCTTGGGCCCGTGTGCTTTGTGTTTCATCGGCTAGGCAGCGCTTGGGCAAAAGGCCTCTCCTTCATCTGCCGTGCTGAAAGTCGGAGATCCTACCTTACGCTTATATCCCACTTCCTATGGATGTTTCCACCATCAGAGAAACGAAATACCCTTGCTTGTCTTCCAGTGGCTTTCTTATATAACTCAATCACGAGTCACGTCGTTGGTTTCCAGGTACATCCTACGCCTTAAACCCTGAACCCTGACCTCATGAAGCCGTGCCTGCGCTGAGCGAGTGTGCGCGTCGAAACCCTGAACCCAAAGTGCCGAAGCCCTAAACCCTAAGCGATAAGCTGATAAACCCAAAACGGAAAACCCTGAACCGCAAGCCATGAGTCGGGGTGCCTTCTCTGGAAAAGTCCAGTCTTTGGAGGGTTCGGGCTTCAGGGTGTAGGGTCTGGGTGTGTGTGTGTGTGTGCCTGACACCGCAAATGACCAACCTTGTGAAGGAGTTAAAGAAGGAACTCATCTCAAAGCGCTGAGGGGTTTGGAGATTCGTTGGAAGGAGGCACTTTCGAGCCTTGGCTCGAGACCCTTCATGTGGTTGGATACTCGTCTTGCTTGCGTGCTCGTGTTGGGTTTCTCGTGTTTCGGTCTGCTTGCAGGCACGGGTGCAGAAGGTACTTGACTCAAAACCTCCTGACCGCGAAACCCGAGATCCCAGTCACGTTGTGTTGCAAATAAGGTAGCTGCGCTAATAAATGAGTCTAAGTTCTGATTGGGGCGTTCAAAACCCTACTGACTAACTCACGCAATCCTACGTACAAGTACTTATATCCCCAATCAAAGTTACTTTTAAGATACTACTTAGGAACCCTCCAAGTGGGGTTCGCGCCCCTCGACCATGAGGCCAGTTATCGTAGCTTCCACTGGCCTGGGACAAACATTCGCTTGGCCTTGATCATCACAACAGAGTTGCAGAGTTTCGGTAAGGTTTGCAAAAGAGACAAAGGATCCGTTAAAGCCTTCCAACACGTAAGGGCTTTATAGTGTTTTGTAGGGGATCCATGGAGGCGTGGTGGTGTGTAGAACACTCTCCGAGGATCCCGCCGGCTTACAGATTTGGGGTAGAGACTAAGGTATAGGGTTTAGGGTTTACGGTTTAAGGTATAGGAGGTTTAAAGTATTTCGTTTTTTGCCAAGCTTTAAGGTTTAAATTTAGGGCTTGAGGAAGAAGCATCCAACCCTACAGCCAAATCAAGAAACCAGAGCTCTACAGGGCCCAAAGATACGGTGCTCACATCTCTGCCCACCGTCAACTACCCGCACTGCTGTGATTCAGATCATGCCTTTTTTCAGCATGGGCTTGGATTGCGTGCCAGCGAACACTCCTCAACAGCAGGGCCTTCTCGTTTGATGCCTTGAAACCTCAACCCTATGCCCAGCCCGAAATCCTATACATCCGCATGATTCAGACCTACAGCTCGAACCCTCAACTTTCAGTCCTCAACCTTGCGGCTCACAAGGCCCGAAACTCTGAACCCCAACAGCCCCAGAAATCCCCCAAACCCTAAACCCCATACCCCCTGAACCTTTTTTTGCAGCAGGCCTCGTTGCCCAGCAGCCCGGTTAGAGCAAGAGCCCCACCCCCTATTGCGTTGAAACCCTTTACACCTGGACTACGCATTTTCAACGCTGACCCCTAAACCTCAAACCCCTAACCCCCGCCCAAAAAAAAAACGGGAAGGAGCGCAGACTTCTGGGCACCGGTGCCAGCGCTGCCGCATCCTCGGGAAGGCCGAAGTGAAGCCCGGCGGCCTGGCAGAAAAGCAAACCTCTGAGGGTCCATATAAGGGAAAGGTCCATATAAGGTTAGGGTTTATGGGTTAAGGTTTTCCCTCCTACTTAGCAAGGACGAAGCCCGCAGTGCAGGGAAGTTCCGGTAACAATTGAGGTTGAGGGCTTATGCTCTCGCAACTCGAACAATCCTGACGAGGTCTCTGGCGAAGTACTTTGACTGGTCGGGTGAAGGCTGCTGACGTTCAGTTCTACACAACAGGGAGCACTGAACAATACGGAGAGCTGAATGAGTTAGTATGGCATGAACTATCGTCAGCAACACTAGTTCTGCCGAAAGCTACTTGGCCAAGCAAATTCATGAGCCATTAGGGTTAACGGTTCTTGTTTTGGACGTCCCTTTTCCATCTGCTGCGATCCTACAAGTGGGTTTCGGCGCTCACACTCGGACAATCCAGGCGAGGCATGTGGTTCGGAGTCTGTTGTATGTCATGTCAACATCCAGAAGAAGCTAACGCAGAGAATGACTGTACTTCTCAGGATTAGTCTCCCCTCTCCAGATCCTGCTCTTCAAACCAGAGCAAGCGGTGGTTTTTGTTTAGGGTTTAGGGGAAGGGCCTCGGGGTGCTGGGGCAACGGTATACTAACTTTGGGGCCTCAGGGACAACCCCAAGGAATAACACACTAAATATTAAGGGACCCTGTGTTACCAATAAGCATTCCTGCAATGATCCTTCCAAGACAGGCAATCCTAGTAAGGGTTTACAAGATCGTATAAGGGTTTAGAAAGGTATTTAGACTGGTTTGAAGGGATTCTTCATCGAGTGTTTTCAAGTGGCTGTACTGGGCGTGTGCACGAGGCTTATGCTGGACGATTGTGTGCATAGCTCTGCAAAGCTTGATGACTATGTATATAAGACTTGTTTAGCAGTTGAGGTTGTCAGGTTGTCAGGTTTTTTTTCCCCTCTCGCATGGCTGGAGATCAAAGTCCGCTCGCGAGGTCTGACACTTGTCAGGTTTAGGGTTTGGGGTTTAGGAAACTGGGGGTTGTCAGATTCAGTGATTTATGGTTGCAAGGCAATTATGTAGCAAAAGGCTTGGAAGGTTAAGGGCTGGGCCCAGGCATAGGATTCAGAGCTAAAAAATGTTGGAGCCGTGGGGGGCTGTGGGGCTGTGGGGTTTCTGGGTTTAGGGCCTGACCGGCCGAGCTTTGGTGTAGGATTGCGGGGGGTTTGTCCCATTCGTTGATGTTGGGCTTATGGCAGGGACGGTTGGTGATACACCGGGGGTTCTAGCACTCTGCTTTCGTCCTGCAGTCTTGCTCTTGCTTAGGGCTTTTGGACTTGGAGTCTAGCGTGGGATTGCGCCACTCATCGCTGCAGCTCGGTGCAAGCTGGAATGCGAGGACACTGACCCCAGACCCCTTAAGATTAGGAGCATCGGGCGGCAGAGGTGCCTGGAGTCGTGCTTCCTCGAACTCGTCCATGCCACCTGCAAGCAAGTGCGGGCTTTAGGACATTAGGATATAGGGTTTGGACGGGCTGGAAGTTGTAGCCCCAAACCCTAAACCCTAAACCGTCGGCCGGAGCTGCGTGACACTTCTGTATACCGGGCTTGAGGTTCAAGGTTCAGCGATTACGGTTTAAAGTTTTCTGTTTTCAGGGTTTCGGCGCTCACACTCGAACAGTCCTGGCGAGGCCTATGGTTCAGGGTTTAGGGGTTGCCGACCCTGACCCACAGGCACCAACAATCCAGGGCGCAGCAGCGGAGTTCGGGCTTGCAGGTTGGACTTTTGTGATTTTGTGGCTCTACCTAAACCCAAACCCTGCGAGTTTCTTTGGACCAGTCTCCTTCCTGCATACGACACGTCTTTTGTCTTCTGGGCGCCCTAAACCTCTAGCACTTTGGGGTTTTCCGCGGCCGCGCCTAGTCTTGGCATGTAGCTGGTCGACTGCCGGAGCGGAAAATACACACCTGGGGTTTTCAGGGTTCGAGTTTAAGGTAGCTTGTGTACAGGGGTTCTTCGAACTCAGGTTTAGGGTAGGGTGGGGCTTACGGTAGCTTGCTTTGGGGCTCTTGTGAAAGGTAGGGCTTGTTTCCCGGAGCTCTTAGCTCACGAGTTGACAATGTGCTCAGTGAAGCTGCGGCGCATTATGATCCACATCTTCGGTGGAGGGCCCCCGTTTCACGAGCTTGAGAGAAAATTACGGAGATACTGCTAGCACATGTGCTGTGTAGGTGTCATACTACGAAGCAGCACGATGATGTGGCAGAGTGCCGGCTGCTGCAGCAGGGGTAAGAGTGTTTTTATTTTTGCTGTCGCTGCTTTTTTGCTGTCGTGGCGGGGCGCGTTTTTTTTTTGCTGTCGTGGCGGGGGCGCGTTTTTTTTTTGCTGTCGTGCGGGGTGCGTTTTTTTTTTGCTGTCGTCCCTGCGGGGCGCGTTTTTTCTTTGCTGTCGTCCCTGCGGGGCGCGTTTTTATTTTGCTGTCGTCCCTGCGGGGCGCGTTTTTATTTTGCTGTCGTCCCTGCGGGGCGCGTTTTTTTTGTTGGCTGTCGTCCCTGCGGGGCGCGTTTTTTTTTTGGCTGTCGTGCCTGCGGGGCGCGGTTTTTTTTCGCTGTCGTTGTGCTCCCCGGGCGCTTGTTTATTATCATCATATATATTACTACTACTATACTACTACTACTACTACTACTACTACTACTACTACTACTACTACTACTACTACTACTACTACTACAACTACAACTACTACTACTACTACGACGACTACTACTACTACTACTACTAGCACTACTACCACTACTACGACTACTACTGCTGCTACTACTGCTACGACAACAACAACAACTACTACTACTACTACTACTACTACTACTACTACTACTACTACTACTACTACTACTACTACTACTTGTTTGGCTCCTGCATGGCGCTTCGACTGACTGCATAGCAGGTGACAGTTGAGTATCGTAAGCTCCGACCTCACAGCGATGCGAAGCAAAACTACCTGCTTTTGTTTCGCCGTTGTGTTGTTGCGCGTGCCGGGGTTTCTTGCTTCGCACGTGCATGCCCGGCGCAGGTTCCCAATTGCAAGCACCCTTGTCACAAGGTGAATGGTGTTTTGTCTCTAAACGACTCATCGCAGGCATCGCGGGTTTCAAGAACGACTCCCAGGCTGTCATGCAACCTTGCGCAAGGCTTAAAACAGCGGGGGGGTTGGGGGGGGCGCAGCCCCCCCCATTTTCAATCACGATGGCTGGTTTAAACAGCGGGGGCGTTGGAGGGGGGCGCAGCCCCCCACATTTGCGATTCTATGATGGTCGCGTGGGCGGCTGAAACAAAAAACGCATATGTGCTGTCAACCAAGTGCCACTCTCGCATGCCCGGCGCAGGCTCCCCGATTGCAAACACCCTTGTCACAAGGTAAAAAATGGTATTGGTTTCTAAAAGACACATCTCAGGGATCGCGGGTTTCAAGAACGACTTCTACGCCGTCATGTAACCGTGCACACGGCTGAAAACAGCGGGGGGGTTGGGGGGGGCGCAGCCCCCCCCATTCGCAATCACGATGCTCGCATGGCTGGTTTACAACAAAATCATAGGGGCGGCGGGGGGGAGTCAGGATGCTCGCATGGTTGGTTTTAAATACAACGCATATATATATATATATATATATATATGCTGTCAAGCAAGCTTGGCACTCTCGCACGTGCGGGACAGGCTTCCCATTTGTAAACAAGTTTTTCGCTGGGTGAATGGCGTTGTTTCCAAAACGCACATATCATATTATGCAGGGTGGGTTCCCCGAAACGACCTCTATGCTGTCACGCAAGATCACGCAAGCTTGCAGACGGCTTAAAACAGCCGCCCTCCCTACTACTAGTACTATAGTACTACTAGTACTACTAGTACTACTAGTACTACTAGTACTACTAGTACTACTAGTACTACTACTACTACTACTACTACTACTACTACTACTACTACTACTACTACTACTACTACTACTACCACTTGATAGAAACCTTAAATGAGCAACTTAAACACCCAGATATTGTGTCGTTCCCGATACTGTTGTTTGCGGGGGCGGTCGTCCCCGGGGGCGCGATTTCTTTTTTGCTGTCGTTGCGGGGGCGCGTTTTTTTTTTGCTGTCGTTGCGGGGGCGCGTTTTTTTTTTTGCTGTCGTTGCGGGGGCGCGTTTTTTTTTTGCTGTCGGTGCGGGGGCGCGTTCTTTTTTGCTGTCGGTGCGGGGGCGCGTTTTTTTTTTGCTGTCGTTGCGGGGGCGCGTTTTTTTTTTTGCTGTCGGTGCGGGGGCGCGTTTTTTTTTTTGGCTGTCGGTGCGGGCACCGGGGTTCACTCACTCACCGGCTTCCTGGGTCCGCGCAACGAGAACAAAAAAAACATAAAGGCAACGACAGCAAAAAAAAAACACGGGTTCCCTGCAGCAGGTAACGAACTGGAGCACAGATTGCAACATACTGGCTTCGGGCGGCTTCGGGACCGCTATGAAGGAACGACACAGGGGCTTGGTCTGTGGAGTCTCTGTCGTGGGAAACAAGGCCAAAAGCAAGCAAGACTTGAATCCAAACTCCTGGAACTCGTACGATGTAAAATCCGAACCCGACATAAACAGACAAACCATCTGCACAACAAAGCATTCTAAGAACAGAAGTTTGCCGGGTCAAGCAAACGATTGCACCTAGCAAAGTAGATGCATCCCAAATGCCCTACAGCAGAAAAGTGGTTAAGCAAAAAGCAAAGCCAACATGATTCTAGACGCCGGTCAGGACGCTGCAAAAATGAAACCTGAAGCACGAATGCTTTATAAGCAGCCGCTTGTGAAATCCCCTTTTGCGGGAATAAACGAAAGTCCCGTTGCGACTGGTAAACTCTAAACCTCCTCCGCCAAACCCAAACTACCGGTCCCCGACCTGTCACAGCCGGGGCTAACCCCCGGATCGCTTTGGCGACGAGCATCTCCACCTGGCGGAGGGGCGTTCGTAGTACAGCGGCCTTAACACTTAGAATAGGGTTCCTTTAAAGGGGTCCTTAAGGGCTGCTAGAAGGGCTACTGTGAGGATTTCGTATAGGGGCCTTAACAACCAGAGTAGGGTTTTGGCTTTCGGGGCCCATTTTTCTATATTTACAATAAGGAACCCCCAGAATAGTATTGGTAGTTATTTAGGCCCATGTATTAGAGGCTCTTAAGGTGTTAAGGTCCTGGCTTTCATAGAGGCTCTTAGGGCTTTAGGGCCTGACCTGCCTCACCTGTGTAGTGGCCTTTTGTACGGTTTTTTGTGGAGTTAGTCTGGTATCTGAGAAAGGCTCTTATAATCAAGAGCTTGAAGAATGTATTGTAGTCTCTACGACGTATGATGTGGTGGATTGAAGGCTTGCTGCCTTGTCAAGGCTCTTGCCTTCACATACTTTTTGAAGCAACAATTCCGGATGCTTTGGGTTCCCTTCTAAGCTTCGGATTTCTATAGGGATTGTGGGAGCGGCTAAGTTAGAGTACATGTAGGGTCGGGTAGGGCATAGGAGCTAGGAGCGGCTCAGAGATCAGATGTTCGGAGCATCACGCTTCGGATTGGGATCCTTGTAATACGGATCCTACTACTTCTAACAGCAAAGCAATCTGAAGGATCAAAGAGAAGCCATGCGCGCACAGACTTTTTCACACGGAAAGCTAAAGGCTCAGCGGCCGTCTCGAGAGGGAAGCCGCGGAAGGTTCAAGGCTCACCGCTCGGAAGCTGAATCTTCACACTGGTGTTATTTTCTTTTGAGCCTTGATCCGTTAGCTGCAGTTTAGGATTCTGCAAGAATGCTGAGAACTGACAGCTAAGCTTCCAGTCAAGCTTGGTTAGGGCGTCCGCTAGCATCAGAGCTGTTGGCACCCACCTGAAGTCCTGTGGCTTTACAGACTGCTGAACACTCCTGATGTTCACAAGGGATCTCTTATCGGACGTGCTGGGATTCTCAGCGATCACTGTATCATACAATGATTTCGCGTCCGTAACTTGGAGGTTCACGAGCTGCGGGTGCACTTTGTTCGCCGGAGTACCGGTGAACAGCTCACTGAGGCACAGGTTGGCGAAAGCTGCTCTGTCACAGCCCTCGTCGGCTGCACTTGCTTCTGCCGCTAGTGTCGAGCGACAAACTCTTCCGCTTCGAGCTGACTTCCAGTCCACTAGCGTCCCTTTTTCCACTCGGTCCACCACTGAAGGCGAAGTGAGGAAAACGCAAACTCCGTACTGGCTCTTGACGCCGGCGTTGGCGAAGCTTGAGTCGGTGTACGTGACGAAGACGGAGTTCTTGTTGAGCGGGACGTCCTGGTAGGTGAGGCCGTGGTCGGAGGTCTCCTTCGCGAAGTCGGCAGCTGCGTAGAGTCGCTGGAGGTCTTTGTAACTCGTCTCCTTTCCTTGGTTCGAAAGAGAAACCAGAGGACCAAGCTCCGGCCTGGTCTGGCCTGCCAACCACTGAAGTGAGCCGCTGACGCTGCGAAACTCGCTCCACTCGGAGGCGGTGAGAGTCTCCGGTTGTTGAGCACGCCCACGAGGGATGCGGCCGCTCTCCATGCTGTCGGTGAAGGCTTTCTGGGTCACGACGTACTTGTACCGGCCGTTCGTCTCGATCATCTTGATCTCCTTGCCACGGTAGGTCGCCGACTGCTCCGTCGTCACCTTGGTGATGCTTCCCCAGATGAACATGCTCTCGAGGATCTTCACGGGAAACTTCTCGCTGTAGGTCGCGAGAAAGTCGTCGACGTGGATGATGACGACTGCAAGAAGGTTCTTCTGGTTGTCAAAGAAGTAATACAAGCAGCGATCGAAGGAGTGGCGTGTGAAGCCGCTCTCGGTCATTTTGCCATGGACACGGAGATACCAAACACGAGGTGTGTTCGGGAGTCCGTAGCAATTCCCCGTGATGAGGTACAAGTCGGCCGGAAAGCTTTGGGTTTCCTCCATCAGAGGATCTCGAGGGGGCATCATAAACAGAGGCCCTGCTCTCTCAGAAGTGTCCTGGGTACCCTGGAGAAAAGCACTCTTGGCGTCACTTGCCCACAAAGACCAACGATCGCCAGAGAGGTTGAACTCGCCGTTGGCGCCAGCAGTAGCAATCGTCATCAACAGTGCTTCTGACAATCTTGTCGGAGTCGGACTGTCTCTTGAGATTGAGAATATGTCCGGGTCGGCGCAGCCTATGATGACGACTCTGCATTTAGGGCGTAATGGTCCGACGCCTTTGGCCTTGTCCCTGTAAGCCGCTCGGGCTTTCAGCACCCTTCTGGCGAGGGCTGGATCGCCCATGATCCTTTTAGCCTCCTTCTTGGAAACAGGCTGAATGCCGCCCCACGACATCCAAGTGTCGCATTCCAATCTGGTGGCTTCCAAGTACTCCTCGTACTGCGCTCGTGGTAATTCCACAAGCTGTCTCCAGGGTATCTCCCTGTCGAGCTGCTTAAGCTCCTTGCGACTGTGACTCCTGTTGTTGGACTCGTTGTAAGTCTCGTCGTCGGAACTGGCGTCTTCACGTTGGGGATCTTCGTCGACGCCCGCAGCCTTCATCTCCTTCTTCCGGATGGCGCTGTTGAGGTAACACTTGTAGTAGTAGTTCCTCCGGAAGGGTACGTTGTCCCGGTCGTTGCCGTCCTTCAGCTGGGCCTCGCCGTTGTCGAAGAAGTCGAAGTTCAGCGGAAAGCTGCTGACCAGAACCGCTGCCGTGCGCTTCTGAGGAAGCTGTGGCAGCTCTTCATTGTCATCGACGAGTGTCTCTGAGACACCTGCCGAGGTAGCGGCGGTTCCGCCCATCGGGGCGGCGGTCTCCTGGGTCGTCTCGTCCAGGTTCGTGACGGCTGTTGCCGATTCGTTGTGCTCCTCGAAGTCGAGGTCGTTGTGCGTGTCGTGTTGTAGCGAACCCTGTGCAGAGGAAGCCGCGGGAGTTGCACTAGGAGGTGGTTGTTGCGTTGGTAACCCCGTCCAGTCTGGTGTTCCAGGTGCTGGGCTCAGCTGTGGAGTAGCAGGAACACCGGGGCTAAAAGCAGGCGAAGCGTAAGCTGAGCTGTCTGGCACTTCTTGTTGTCCGTCTCTTGTTGTTCTCCTTCCCGTCGGTGTCCTCGAACGTGCCCTGCGCGAACTTCTTGGGGTTGGTGGTACTGGTGACCCTGGCACGTTGAACTGGATCTGCCGGTTGTCCTGCTGGTTCGTCACGATGGTATTCTGGATGAAAGGGCCCACCTGAGTCTGTTGTTGTTGTTGTTGAACGTAAGTCCGTGGCTGTTGTTGCTGCACGTCTAACTGTCCTTCTTGGCCCATTTGAGTCTGTTGTTGTTGTTGTTGAAGGTGAGTCCGTTGCTGTTTCCGACCGCTGCCCGTCATGGGTAGTGGCTCGATCGGCAAAACAGGTAGTGGACGTGGTAGTTCACGTGCTGGTTGCGGTTGGTCTCCAGGCGGTAGCTTCCAAAAGAACGTAGTAGTTCCGGTCCACGGCTCATCAAAGATCTTGTGGTTCCGGGGATCTCGCCACTGGTCTTCAGGTAGCTGCTCCGTCGCCTCGTTCTGGTAGGTCCTCCTCGTGTCGCTCAGGTCGTCCAAGGGAAAATTGCATTGAGAAGCTTGTGGTACGTAAAGTTCCCGCCGAGGATCTACATGAACACGGACCGCACCGGTGTCAGTGTACCTCCAGTAATCAACGTTGCGCTGAAGCTCTTGTGGTATTTGATGTGGCGCCGCCAGAGCTCCTGGTTCAAGGCTCGGCTCGTTGGTCTCATCAGGAGGTTCTTCGGTGTGGTCTTCCCAAAGGGCATCTCGAAGATTGTGTTCAGCATCCTTCAGGATCTTGAGGTCCTCGGCTGAAGGTGTCCATTCTTCCCATCCGCATGCAGCTCTCACTTGGTTTGATGCGACCTTCACGGTGGTCGTGCCGACCTGCAACCAAAGGCTCTTTCGGTCTGGATCGGCAGAGAGGAAACGACCCAAATTCCAAGCACCTTTTTTATGCTGGCGTGATCTGCCGCTCCATCGCCAATATGCGAGTGGTTGTCCGGCCTGGTAATCGGCGATGTCCTGGTGCCTGGTCTTGCGTAGCAAAGCTCTCTTAACTGCGCTTGAAGCGTTAAATTCAGCGAGTGCTTTCAATGCTTCTGCGCGTAAAAGTTCTGGAGCCAAACGCTTTTCCGAAGGCTGGGGCGAAATCACCAATGACCTTGGGTCTGAAGAGAGGTCTCCCAGGGGCCGTGGTACTCGTCCGAACACTGCTTGATAAGGTGATCTTCCGTACGAGTAGGTGCTGGAGTTCATGCTGTAGGTGACCGCAGGGAGGATCATGTTGAGCTCCTCGAGGTTGTGTGCCCCTCGCTCGTCCACGATGCGCTCAGTGAGGCTGCGCATCAGACTGTTTCGTCTCTCTATCTTGCCCAGTCGATGGTGGGCTTCGGCAGGGATCACCTCGTAAAGAATGCCCGATTGGCCATGCCATGCAGCGACTTCAGCACCAAACTCTCCCCCGGCATCGCACTTAAAGTGAAGAGGTAGTCCAAGGGGCCGGTACCATATATCCAGGAGGACTTGCAGCACCTCGGGCGGAGATCTTGATGATAATGCCTTGCTGCAGTGATAGTTGGTGGCCTCGCAGCACATGCCAAGCACCGGCACCGCTGTTCCCGTAATCAGCCTGATGTAGACCAGGTCGGCCTGCAAGACTTCTCCGAAGTAGCCTGTGAAAGCCGGTGCCACGGATGATGTTGGCGGTGGCCGTGGCTTCTGAAGTCTTATGCATGAGCCGCACCTGAGGCAATCGAGTCCCATCAAGACCTTTCGGCTGAGGTTGCCGGAAGCTGCCAGCATGCGTATAAGTTCGGCCTTGGGTGCATGACCCATGTTTACATGCAACCTTGCCAAACTGTACTGTAGCTGCTTGTCGACCTCCCGAGGGGCATCTTCGAACCAAATCTCGGTCTGGAATCCATGTAGCGGTCGCGTGCTCGATTTCCCGGTGTCTTCCTCGGCTGGCACTGGCTCAGAGCCCTTCTCGCTCTCGTGAGGGAAGCCAAAGAAGAAGAGTGCAACGCGTACCGGTTTAGAGTACCTCTGTTTGGGGTAAGTGATTTGCGCCATGTCCTCGGATTCAAGTGCAAAGTCCCCGTTGATCAACCTCAGCGCCGCACCCCTATGTGTGAAGGCGATGTCCTGAGGGAAGCGGCGACACTGAGGAGTCCAAGCAGCTTGCACCTTTTCCAATTTCCAAGGCACGAGGTTTGCCAGCGTGTTCCGCAAAGGGTCGGTGCTCGTCAGGGTGAAGGGCTTCTTGTGCGTGTTTGCGAAGCGCTTCTCCAGCTCATCCAGCACTTGGCCCCATGCCTCAGGATCGTTGAGGGGCCGGGCTGCAAATACATCATGGGCCTTCCGCTGGAATCTCGCTGGGTTTCGCCTCCTGGCCTCGTTTTGTATGCCCTGAAGGAGCGCATGCACCAGACCATCACAAAGTTCTCCGGGAGCCGATGGAAAAATGTTGGCGCGCAAATCGTGGTGGCTGTGGTCGGCTACCGCGGGACGATAGTGAAGCTGGTCGTCGGTGAGGCGTCGTTCCAAAAGAGGTGGAAGAACCGTGCTGTTCGTCACCCACTTGATCTCACTCGTGGCCGGGTAGCCCTCGTGGTCCTCCAGACCGTAGGCGCCGGCGTGGCAAGTCGTTGTAGTGACGTTCTTGTGGTGGAGGAGGTCCTTCATAGCGCCGGTCCGCCAAAGGTGTGCATTGGCATCCGTGTGCCCCGCGAAGTAACGACCGGCCCTTTCCTGTTCAATGCAAGCCCATATGCCCAACTCGTTGAGGTAGGCACACTCCTTGCTCATAGAATCGTTGTTGTCGGCATCGGGCAGCCAATTCACGCAAACAAACAGCGGCTGGAGGTCGGTGATAGCCTTTTTCAAAAGTGCTTGCTGCTCTGCATGCCGAAGGTCGTGGCCGAACTTCACATCGAAGGGCTCCAAGGCCGCCAGCCCGTAGTAATTCGCCTCGTTGGTGATCCGAGCCATTCCGCCCAACAGCTCGAGAACGTCGATCTTCGGGCGCTTGTAGATGTCCTTGTACACGGGAAGCGCGTCGTGGTGCGCGATCTCAATCTCATAGTCCCTCTGGGCTCGCCGGAGCTCGCCCACCAGCCATGTTGTATGCCCCGACTTCAGGGATCCTCCACCAGATCCCACGCGTAGTCGCTGGCCCGGTCCAGATCGATAATCTGGGGCTCCTCGGTCTCCTCGTGTGCCCGTCGTGCCGCGACCCCCCTTTGGTAGTGCGCCTCGTATTCCTCCATGGTCCTGGGGTCCAAAGTCGCCCGCATCGTAGCTGAAGGGGCCCCACGATGAAGATTCATCGAGCGCACCTCCGCCTCGGTGAAGTCGAGCTCTCCCCGCCGACGTGGCGCCGGTTTCAGCTTCGGCTTCAAACCTGTGATCGGGCGATCTCCCGAAGATCTGGCCGTAGAGGAAGTCGCCGTCGGGACCAGCTTGGTCGCCAAGATTGGCCGGGCTCCATACGGATCCGAGCGAGGCAACGGCCGTGGCGATGGTGAGGAGGGCAGCTCTTCCCACGCTCCGAGCACCCACTTCCACCTTGTGGCGCATTGCATGCACTTCTGGAAGCTCCCGTGCTTGTTTCCCGATCTCGCCAGCATGTGCGACGGATGCTCGCACGCCTTGTTGAAGTTTTCGATGAGCTCGTCGGTGATCTTCTGGTGGCCGGGGTCCTGATGTGACAGCCAAGACCGCTGGCGAAGTCCCAGCCGTACCGTCTGGGAGAGGAACCGCAGGAGGTGCATCTCCGCCCCGATGATCGACCGGACAATGCGCCGCCATCCCTGCAACCAAAGAGGTGGAAGCGTCTGGGCCTGCATGAAGCGCCGTGGTCGCAGGAAGCTTCACGAACTCGGGGTCAGGTTCACCTTGATCCAAAATGCTGCTCAACGCTTGCCACTTCTTGAAGTGTTCTTCGGGAAACTGATGGAGAGCTATGCAGATATGGCCGTTGATCTTCACAAGTGGTACTTCTATGCCGCCAAGAAAGGCCTTGTTCCTAGGGAAGTCCAGAACGGCTTTCAACTTCTTCGAAATCATCCCCAGGCTGAGCAAGAAAGGAATGTCGCTATCCCCGTCCATCACCGAAGCACCAAACAAAGCACATGAGTCCACACTGCCGTCTAGACAAACAGGAAAGTAGGCATGCATCTTGCTGTTCTGGATGGGCCCGGTGCCGAACTGGAAGCCTTCATGCTCAGGCTTTGTCTTGGCATCCAGCTTATGTTGCCGAAGCTGCTGTCGGTGCTTTTCCAACCACTTGCTGCTACAGAGGCTTCGTTGGCAGGCTGTGTCAAGAACCGCAAAACCCGCGAAATCCCCCGGCTGACTAAGGAAAACTTCATGAAGAGGCCCGGCATGCATGGTCATGAAGGTCGTGAAATATGAGCCGAACTCCTGGGTCTCCTCGGGACTTGGGTCCTGCACGTCGGCTTGTGTCTCTACTCCGCTTGGGTGGTACACAGCGAGCACTTTCTTCGGGGCCGCGCTCTTCTTGCTGTCAGGCTTGCCGTGACCTGGCTGCTGGGAGCTGGTTGCCCGCGCGCCTTTGCCCGTCATTGGGCAGCAATCGTCACCCTGCCAGTGGCCCTGTTGGCCGCAAACCGCACAATGGGAGTTCTTCTTTCTCTGCTCGATCGATTTGCCCTTGCCGCCGCCACTGAACTTTCGCCCCAAGGTCACGCCCTGGAGCCTCCGGGCCGTCACCGTCAAGCACTCGGCCACCTCTCGCATGACACTTTCTACGTCGTCGGCGGCCGTGTCCCCTTCATCGGGAACCAACTCCTCTTCTTCTCCAGCTTCATCTTCATCACCTTCCTCGCCCTCGGGAATCTCAGGAAGCTCGCCGCCGTCGTCCTCGAAGTCGCCGTCAGGGTTCTGCTCCTCGGCAACGTAGGCGCGGTAGGGCTTCGGCTGGTGATTGCCGGCTCCTTTGCCCGGCCGTGGTGGCCTGGGATCCTTGCCGCCCTTGGCGCCCTTCTTGCCGCCCGGGTCCTTGCCGCTGTCATTGTTCCGGCCGGCGTTGTTCTCGAACTCTCTGTGGTGCACCGTCGGTGGCGTGGGCCGATGGTCGGGGAACTGCATCTGCGCCGCCTCGCGTACGGCATCAAAGTCCAGACTCTGGCCGGTGGCCACTAAGATCAGCCTCTGCTGCTCGGCCGTGAACCGCAATCGGTCCAGCAACCTTGACCCTCTTGCCTCCTTGTCGTACATGCCCGACACGTCGATGCCCGCTGCCAGCAAGCTCTTCTCGGTCCTCTGGTACCTGTTGCAGAACGCACGCACCGTCTCGTTGCTGTGCCTGCCGAGGTACTCGTAGTCGTGGAGGAACTTGCGCTTTAAGTACACGGCGCGGGTCTGCAAAGCCCGCCTCAGTGCTGCCAGAATGTTGTCGATGCCGTTGTCGGTGTCGATCTGGGCCACGTCCATGTACTCGAGCTCCTCCTCGGCTTCGCCTCGCAACGAGACGTAGAGAGACATTGCAGCTTCACGGGGAGGCATAAAGGACTTGACCTGCCGTTCCCAGACTCTCACCTTGCGCTCGAAGCGGTCGTAAGCCCTGATGTCCTCCTTGGAGTAGGTCCACTGTGGAGGGTTCGGAGCGGTGCCGCCACGATATCGGACACCTGGCTTGGGTCCTTTGGACACAGACCAATCCTCCTCCTTCTTGCCGTGGGCGCGGCCGATGTCCTTAAGCAGCTTGCCGCGCCATGTGCTCTGATCGCCATCCTGATCTTGCCGTGGAGGTTGCCCTGCGCCGTTGCCTTCCGGAGAAAGCCGAACTTGATCCGAACGACGCCCATCTCCCTGATCGCCGCGTCCTGCTCGAGGTCCTTGGCCGCCGCGGCCAGCCGCAGCCGCCGCCGCTCGCCGTTGTCTCCTCGAGGGTCTCAATGGAAGAAGGGTGTCGGGATCTATCGTCGCATCTGTCGTCGCCGTCTCTGACTCCGCCTGCTCTCTAAAGCCACGGCCTTCCCCTTCATCAAGCTCTGGGGGACTCCATGGCGAGGTCGGCGAAGCGTCGCCCAGTGTCGAAGGCACATCCCAGCACGAGGTGCTCGAAGTGGAGTCGTCTCCGCCTGGGTCTTGGTCGGGGCGAGGAACATACACCCATGTGCCGGTCGAGGTCGAGCGCCTTGTCGGTGTGTTGGCGTTGTAGAAGTCACGGCTGCCGCAAGCTGCACAGAACCAGCCATTGGCATCTCTCGAAAACTCCTCGCTCTCACAGCCAAAGCACTTCCATCGAGGCTCGGGTGCATCCTGTCGCAGTGGGGGCTCATACAAGGTCTCACCTGGTCGTCGGCTGCCCTCGCCGGAAGAAGCGGCCGGTCTTGCCAAGCCTGGTGGGAGCCTCAGAGAACCAGATCCATAGCCGGGAACTCCAGGGCTCTCTGGCGAAGCAGCACTCGCCAGGAAATCATCCAAGGTCTCTCCGGCCATCTCGCGAAGGCAGCTGGCTCCGCTGCCAACTAACAGCAAAGCAATCTGAAGGATCAAAGAGAAGCCATGCGCGCACAGACTTTTTCACACGGAAAGCTAAAGGCTCAGCGGCCGTCTCGAGAGGGAAGCCGCGGAAGGTTCAAGGCTCACCGCTCGGAAGCTGAATCTTCACACTACTTAGGGTACCGTATTAGGGTCCCCTATCATGATCCTCAGGAAAAGGTGCTCTGTGACGCGACAGCAAACCAGGCTGATCTTCGACTAGTCTCCTATGGGTTTAGGTGGTTTACGAACTGAACCATCTTGCTGATTGCCATAAACGAAGCTTTGATTCGTGAGCAAGACCCCAGCCATGCACGAAGCTTAACGAGCCTACTTACCCTAACCAGACGACACACCTCGGAAACGAAGGCCCTGGTAGGAACACTTGTCGGAACTCTGACAGGAAGCTGTTGTTCCTATTGCGCCTCCGCACGTTCGGCAGCGTCCATGGCGGCTGGAAAGCGGAAGCCGCGGAGGTTCCGCACAGCGGAGACCTTGGTAACTCTGGATTTGCTTCGGACATCTATGAAAGGTGTTATTGACACTCCCCTCAGGATTGAGTAATTCAGGGTTCAGGGCTTCGGATGGTAAGGCTTGGTGAGATTAGGGCTTGATCCTTTTACGCAGGCTTTGATCCCATTCCAGCATGCCTATGCCAATCTACCGCGGCAAACACCCAAAGAGCAAGAACTCAATGATTTTCGGTACTGTGTGTGTGAAGTGTAAGTCATGGTGTAGTTCGCGGTGTGGTTGCTCTGCGTGGGCTTGACTTCTCTCGAAACCCCGATTACAAGCGTCGATGACTCTGGCGGCCGGGGGCCCGCAATCCAATCTTTACTGGGTTCTTGTTAAGGAACTTAATTTAAGTTACCACAATAAGGAAACCCTATTATTTACCATAGATCCCTATTATGGTAACTTAAATTAAGTTCCTTAACAAGAACCCAATCTTTAGGGTTTCACGCTCGAGTGGCCGAGGCACAGGACGTGTCTTGGGCGTCAATCGGACACCAAAACGACATGGCGACGATTGTTCGATGTGATGTGAGGGATAGTGATGGCCACTGTGAACACGACAAGAATGGCCATGACATGCTACCTTCTTTTTTACAATCGTAGTTGCACTTCCTACGCAGCCGTGTGTGCGTAATGCTATTCTGTGCCAGCCTTATAACAGCATAACAGGTTGTGACAAGCAGACATATACCCCAAGAAAATTAGAACCTAAGCCCTGTAGTAACGCAGTAGTTTTCAACATCCTCCCGCGCCGCTCGGCCTCCACCGAGTGGATGGTGTGCCCTGTGGGGTCCAATCGCTTCGGGTCCACCCGCTCGGCGTCCGCACGGGACCTCCACAGAATGAATGCCCAGCTCCAGGTGTAGTTTCAGACCGTCGGATGCTCTTGGATTTGGGCCCAGGTCGTAGGGTTTGGGGTTATCCGCTTTTTGGTTGCTAGTTGCTTGTTGTTGGTTTATGCTGCCGATGGGATACTTGCATGACTTCGTGGGCTCATTTGGCTCTGGCTCCGAGCCCACTTTCTGATTCTGCGCCGCGCCATGAACTAAAAGCTTCAAGATTGAAGCCGTAACACTTCGCAGTTTCAGCACTTCTGGATTTTGCCCAACCCACCGCACTTCAACACCCGTTCCTGACCGGGTTCCGGGCGCAGACTTCGAGGTTCGACCTTTGCCAATGCAAGAACCTACCGTTCGCAACGCATCGCTATGCTTGCGGAAAGAGTTTAGTTCCTCGAATCTACTGCTACTCTTGTATCTGTTTCTGCGACTGCGCCTGGGACTACAAAGACAATTGGACAGCACGAAGTCGCATCATCGAGTGTGGCATGCTATGGGCACCATGTGCGACTATTGGTACTACTTCTGCTAGAGCGACGACTACTAGCTATGATAATAGTACTGTAGCTCCTCCCACAGCTCCTACTGCAGCTACGGCTTCGGCCATCGCGTTTGCAACTTGCTGGAAGCTTCAGGAAATAGGTGACCCTAACATAGAACCCTAACATAGAACCCGATATTGCGGGTGTCGGGAATTCGACCAATGCATTTCGGTCCGGCTCTGCTTTAAGCCTCAAACTCTAGACCCTGAAACCTAAAGCCTAATCCCTGGCTCCAAGCCCCAAACCCTAAACGTAAGTTTCTGAACCCGCCATCTCTCTTCGCCAGGGCGCGTGGAGGCGAGGGGCAGACCACATCGCCTGCCGAGAGACGCGAGGGCCCGTCTCATGACTCTGAAGAATGGCTGTTGGTTTTCGATGCTTCAGGATCAGATCCATATGTTTCAATGGCTTAGTGGTTCTTCATGTCTTCGTTTCAGTGGTGTAGTCGTTTAGGGCTTCGGATTTATTAGGTGCCAGAGGTTTAGTCGTTAGTGGTTTAGTCGTTAAGGCCGTTAAGGGTTTGGGGCTGAGGGTTTAGGGTTTAGGATTAGGTTTAGAGGGTTTGAATCACAAAGGCTCACACGTTCTACAAGTATAGAAAGGGTCCTTCTGAGGGTTCTTTACGGCTTGTGCTTGCTTTGACAGGGTTCTACGCGGGTTGTTCGCAACCATGATATCCGAATGTGGCCACGTCTCTTTATGTAGAGGCTGTCTGGCGGTAACGAATAACATGTCGGGTCGTTTGCAGAATTGAGGGGTGTCTTTCTAGAGTGGTGGGCTTGCAACATTCGGTTCAGGGTATTGAGTTCTGCACGAGCTCGCTCGCTCAGGCTGATCATGGGCAAGTTTAATGGACTGCTGGGATGCTGCTAGGATCCGACATCACCCGAGGTTTCGTACCAAAGCCAGAGCTCTAGATGTTTGTTCTCAAACATTAACGAATGCCAAGGGTGGGCAAGAGTCGAGGCACTGTCGCAACAGGAAAACCCCACTGCAACCTGCTCCTCCCCGATACAAGTCTGCATACGTCTTGCAATGCTCACAGACCACTACGTAAACATGTACATGTATGCGTCACATAATATGAACCGGGGCAAGGGCCTCGTTAAGGTCCCTATATTACAAGCCACCCACAGGAAGGATTCTGGTCTAACACGCACGGAACCCCAAAGCCATACCGATCCCCAAGATCCCCTCCAACCTGCAGGAAGTAAACCATGTAGCCGAGAGATGACCACCTGATCCACTTCAACCCACATCTCCCCCCCTCCATCCCCCTTAGGGTGTTGTAGAAAGTGGAGTTGACGGCTTTGTCCGGCTTTCTCGTCACAAGGATTTTTTTCCAGGACTTGGGGTTGATTGCTTTAGGATGCTTCTACGCCTTTTGGGCGAAGAGCCCCCTCGGTTTGCAACCCACATAGCACAAAGCCCCCAAGAAGACCGTGACTGAAAGCACGCTTTTGGTTCTAAAGCCCCACACCCCAAAAGCCGAAACCCTGAAGCCGCACGGCGACAGTCTATAAGGTTCTATCAGGGTTCTGTGTATAGGCTATAAGCTATGCTATCAGCTTGCGGGCGGACGGTAATACAAATTTAGGGGTTGCAGGGGCGGAGTCTGGGTCTCAGGGTGCCAAGGTTTGGGGCTTGGGATAGTTTGACGTGGAACACATGTCGAGTTTTGCTTGCCAAAACGGCAGGCTCTAGGGAATCTGGCGGGCATCGTCTTCCTGCTGCTGAGCTTCTAAACCTCAAAGCCTGCACCCCAAAGTTCGTAACCCCCATACCCGAAACACCTAAACCGCCGGACCCCTCAGCTCTCAAGTCTCTCAGCTGTCGTCCCTAAGGCATCTCTATCTTGCAAGAGACAATCTTGAACGCGGGCTGGGAATCGCCGAGCACGGTACATCGAAGATCTCTGAGAAAGTATCGAAGCAGTCCTGCTAATCAACGGGTCAAGGGGAGTCAGGGGTAGTTTGCCTAGAGCGTCAGGACAGAGTGGTAAGGCCCAAGCACCTGGAGCAAATAGGGCTCAGGATTTGACGCATACTATGCACTGTGACATCCGAATCCTACTGGTTTGGCGTTTTTCCGGTTTTGCCCGGTCTGAAGAGGAGCCCCAAGTAAGAGGGGAACCTCCATAACGGAACCTAAAACACCTGGCTGCCCAAAGGAAACTCTTGATTTTGAGCCTCAAAACCCGTCGAAACCCGAAACCCGCTGCCCGAAGGAAGTTTTTTAAGTGTACCACGGAAGTCCTCATCTCCTGCAAACAAGCCTCGGGAGGGTTCCGGCAACAATTTTGGCGCTTGGGGGCCCGAGGGTTTTTTTGATTAAGGCCTGGGGATCTGGACCTGCCACTCGCACATCCTTCCTCCCGGTATACTGCCTGAATAGGGAGACAACGAAAGAAAACTGCATCAGGAGCGACTCGCCAACGGGTTTAAAGTTGCCGACATCAAGAATTGACTACTTGCGTGCTGGTGATATGCAAGAACCTCCTGCGGATTCCACATCATTCCACCCGAACAATGTTGCCGCATGCAGCAATCCGGCTCAAAGGATTCGAACAGAAGATAGCATCGAAATGCAAGTCTTTGCATGATGTCAAGGTTCTGGCGAGTCCTGAAGCACTAAGAGACGGCGAGCGAATGCCGACATGGTGACACGTTGCAGAAAGGATACGAAAAGCTTGAGGCATCGGCATGCATCGCCACTGTGGGGCACGTCGACGGCAGACTGACATGCTTGGAGGCGATCCAGTTCTGGTACTTTGTTTGACTGGCTTCTGAAACTCAGGGAACTCGACTACGGCCCCAAAAGGGTGGCGGCGGCGGAGGACTTTTCTGGCGCCTTGATGCAGCGGGCCAGGCGGGTGCCGAGCTTTGTGCGCCTGTTGCCACAAGGCGCACGGAAACCGACACACTCATCCCAAACCGCACAGGCATGAGGTCGAAACCGTGCGCCATCCCAGACCTTAAGCTCTAAACCGTGAAAACCTTGATCTCCTGAGTCACGTCAACCCGACCGCCACCTCTCTTTCAATCTCCATAAGCCTTAAACCGAAAACCAGCTGATTGAACCCAAAACCACCAACTTGCAAAACCCTATCCCTACACCCCATAGAAGTCTACACCCCTGCAGAACCATAGAAGCCTTATCGAACCCTCCTAGAACTCTCAGAGATCCCGAAACCTCTCAGAGATCCCGGTCGCGCCTCTCCTTCAATCGATCGTACAGACCCGGGTCTTTCCTGAATACCTGCCGGCTTAGAGTCGAAGACTTGCAGAACAGGATCGAGAATCCACGTCAGGCGGTTAGAAGTCAAGTCTGTCTGGCCTCACTCCCTTGTCCCATCCATAAAACCCTGCCACTTCCAGATTCCATCCTTTGAGGAGGGTTCAATATGGTTCAATCCAAAAAAGCAATTCTCCATGAGCTCTGAATCTGATTCATGAGCTCAAACGCATGCCGGAAGCCCCAAATCCCTTTTCAGCATGGGCTTGGATTGTGTGCCTGGAAACACCCCTCAACAGAGGAGCCCCAAATCCCTAAATCCTTCTTGCACCAGGACTTGTGCAATCGCCTGATTGTTTGGAGCAGACGCGGAGGTTCAGCGCTCATGACTGATCTCCCAAAACCCGCAATCGTAACCCTCAACGCAACAAAAGCCTTTTTTTTCAGCACGGACTTGGAGTGTGTGCCGGCAGCGAAGCTCTCTGGCAAAGCCTTCCTCAGTCACCTTAGGAGACCTCGGGGATGCACATATGCGCAACAAAAGCCTTAAAGCCTAAACCCTTGCCCCTCAAAGCCTACACTTCCTGTCCCCTTCCACCCCCGTAATCCTTTTTTTTGGGGGGAGCCCATGCCTCTGCCACGAGGTTTGAGTGCTGCGAGAGGTCGGGCCTCGAGGGCTTCGGGTCTGTGGATTTCGGGCTTGATGTAGGAACCTGACTAAGAAACCTTGGGCCTTTATTAGGGCTCCTTATATGTATCCTACTATTTTATACTATTTTGGGTTATAGGCCCAGGTTCTCTTAATCTTCCTGCATTAAGGTTTTAGAGTTTCGACTCGCGCACTCGCTCTCGCAGGCACGGCTGTTTCGACTCGCACACTCGTTTAGAGTGAGGGAGTTTAAGATTCAACCTGTCGAGTTTAGGGAATACGCTTTGGTAACTTGGACTAGCCAGGCGAGGTCTCAGAGCGGTAGGCTCCGAGCTTCTCAATTGTTTAGGGTCCCCTATGCCAAGGATTTGAGTGCTTCGGGCTCCAGGAGGGTCTTGGCTTTAGGATGTTTTTGGCTTTTTTGTTTTTTCATATGGGCCCTTTTTCTAACTGCAGGTACAGTAAGAATTCCTTACCAGGAGGAGCCTGTTTGTTGGGGACTCCATGTGGAAACAAGTGGAACCCCTCCCTCGACCGTGAAACCCCTGAGGCCCCCAACAGAAGGCTTTAAGGTTTAGGGCCTAGGGTTCAGGAAGTGTTGGGCTTGGGGGTTCGCAGGCGGAGCTCCTGGCTTGCCAGCCACCAAAACACGAGGCACTTCTTTTGGGCCCCGGCAACTCAATCGAACCATCTGCCGGGAAGCCGGCCTTGCAGCGAAATCTGAAGGTGTCTTGCTTCGTGGTCCAGGGGGTGCATTTAACTATAAATTACATCTTCTGCTTCCCATGTGCACATTCTTGGCCCTGCCACCAAGTGCCAACACTGACACCGTGAGATTGCAAGGCCGTCCTGCATGGTCTCTTCCAGCGCCGGCTCCGCGAAACGCTTCAGATGCTCCTGGGCCACGGACACACTGGCGATTTCTGGCGCGCACAATTGTTCGCGCAACAGCTCCACGATACGTCTCACAGCTGTCTTGCGCCAGGCCTCGCAGAAGTTCCCTCCCTGCGGCCTCCAGACCTTGACGGCAGGAGCGGAAACTGCGACTCGCCCGGCAAGCTCCATGCGTCAAAACGCAGAAACTTGAGCTTTTTCAAACCGAGTAGTACGAACTGACCATGCGCACAAAGATTGAGGATGCTGATCTGGTGGTGCAGAAAGATGATGGTGACGATGGCAACAGTCGCTGACGACGACGATGCCCATCGCAACTGCGACAGTCGAGGGAGGCGGCATGGCAATGAAGATGAGAACAAAACGAAGATGATGCAGTCCCGAGCTGGCAGGAGACGCAGACAACGGTGGCAGAAATGCACAAAACACGATGATGACGATGTTGATGGTGATGATGATGATGGCGATGATGGTGCTGGTGATGATGAGGGTGGTGGCGGCGGCGGTGGTGGCGGTGGTGGTGGCGGTGGCGGCGGTGGCGGCGGCGGTGGCAATGTGGATGGCAATGGAGATGGTGACGAAGCTGGACATATGACTCCCAGAGTCAGTCTTGAAGTGAAGGCGAAGATGGTCCTGGCAAGGATGTTGGCTAGAAGAGCCCGAGTTGCCGGCTTAGGAGGCACTCAAGCCAGCGCGGACATGGCCAGCGTCTACCAACTCACCATCCAACTCTTGGCCAAATGCAACGGGGCAATGTGCCCAAACACAGGAAAGCAGGAAGATGAACCCGCTACCAACATGCACGTGCGAAAGGGAAGAGGAGGGCTTTGTATTCGGCACAAAGCACGTGAGCAAGCGCCTGTGATTTTTTCAATCTGCTCGTGAGATGCAACAGACCTTGCGAAAGCCTCCACCCTGCTCCTACTCAATCCGCTTAAAGCGGAATTGCTGATTGCAGTGGACGGTGACCACTAGTGGTTCTATTGCCACTTTCCGCTTTCAAGCTTATCGTTGCTCCTACCCAACACCTCTGTCACCAGTGGTTCTTCTCTCTCCAGCCCAGGGCTCGTCGTAGATGTTCAAGAAAACCATCGATTTGCATGTTTGGGGCCAGCGCTGCCGCGTTTTCTGCCGTAAAAAACCCTGCCAGAGAGGCTTCCCCCATCGGATTCGGGATGCAGCGAGCCGTGGGCCACTGTTACTGGTGACCGGTGCCTTGGAGTGAACTTGCAGTCACAGTCTGACAGAAGCTCATGGTCTATGGCACTCAATTTTCTGTGTTGTCTTGGACAGTCGCCATATCGCTGCATTTGTGCTGCATGACGAATTAGGCATGGCATCCCCCCTCCCTTGCAGGCCCCCCCTCGCTCCCGTGAACAGGACTTTTTCTTTGCAGCATGCGCAGCTCAGAGTGGGGCTTGGCTGCTTTGCAACTGTGCCTCATCGACCCCCGCGAAGGTCCTCATGCAAAGCTGAAGAATTTCGCATCCGGGGCGAATACCTGAATAAGAATCGCTACAGTCGTCCAGCCGCGTCCAGGCTTCCTGAGGGCAATCTTGCGTCTTACAGGAGCCGGACTTCATCCGCGCAGACTTCAATGCTCTCACCGGCTTTCAAGTCCGACATCTTCTCTTCCAGCTCCTGGCTTCCATCGGCAATCTGGAAGTAGCCTAACAGTAAAGCCTACCCACCAGGATGCAGACCCGTCCTTCTGCAAGCGCAACGCAAGGGACTCCGCCGAGTCTGGGTATGGCAGCTGCGCCGCCACAAGAAGCAGTGGGGCCAGAAGTGCCAGGCGCCTGCAACATAGTCAAAGCTTGTTTCAGCTTTTTTGGGGCACGTTCACATTCTGGACCCGGTGCTAGCTTACAGCTTCGCATTGTCAACTCACATTCGATCTTGGGGCTTGAGATGTCCAGGAGGATGGTTGCAGCCGTGGCACGTGAGGCAGACGCCGAGCAGACCCTCACACGTGAAGCCCACCGCAGCTAATGCCAAGCCTTCTGCAAGTTCGTGTCTGCGTGGCTGCGAAGAGCATGTGTACAGCACAGAAGCACGAAAATGGCCCAGCACATCCCTCCTAGCTGTCCCAAGCACCTAATCATAAGACATCAAGCTTGCAGTTCAGGAACAGCAGAAGCAAAGGCACTGCAGCATGTTGATCTGCGGCTGTGCGAACGGGCTGGCTGCAGCGACTACAGCGGCCATTGTAAGGGCAACAGCCACTGCGAGCCATCTGGAATTCATGGTAGCCACCTTAGCGAATTTTTCCAAAGGCTGCAGAAGAAGAAACGGCTTGCCGTTTACTGGCTACTTTGATATGCATTGACAACTCAGCCGAGGGGCTGCGACCATCAACGCAGAGGCTGCTTTCAGCAACACCTCCATCCAGACCTTGTCACACTGCGCCTCGGTCGCAGACAGGCCCTGCAGCACAATGGATGTTGCCTCTTGGCTCTGGCGTGATCATTGCGATTCGGAACAGTGATGACGATGACGGCGACTATGTCGTTCATAAGCCGAGAAAACATCCTTGTGTTTGAAACTGCTGTTAGTGTCACCGACTTAGAAATGAGGAGGTCCTGAAAGTGCCACAGCCCTTCTCAATGTCACTGGCATTTCCGAAATGATATTGTGGTTGTTGCTCCTATGCGCTTGGGCATCCGTCATCGACCTCCTCCTCCTCCTCCTCGTCCTCGCCGTCGTCGTCGCAGCAGCAGCAGCAGGGAGGAGCGACGTGACATAGTACAGTAGCAGCATGTATTCTGCGCAGCCATTTCCAACTGAAACGGTACTTTTGTATAGTTACTAGGTCAATGCAAGCTGAGGGCGCCGCGTACTTGCAAAGCAGATCTTTGGTGCCCATCAACGATCCTTGGGTGGAAGATGGAATATCATGACCGGAAAACTCCAAAAATCCTCAACCCTAAACTGCCCCTAAACCCTAACCGACCCACGAAGTAGATCATCGCCGGGGTTCTGTCAAAAGCGTTCTCCTCAAGGATGGTGCGCTCCGTCAGCATTTGCATAAGATCATTCCGGCTCCTTGGCTGAGCTTTGAAGCCTAAAGTCGGTTATGTTATTGTTTTGCTATGATAAGAAGAAAAAGAAAAACCACATGTTCATGACATTGCTCATGTTGAGAGAACATTTTCAGAATACTACTAACAGTAACAATATCAATTATGATAATCATGATAATACGGTTATGATAACAATAATGGCAACACAATAATGATAACGATAGTCATAAATAACTATAACAACAATAATGATAATAATGGCAATAGTGATACTGGTGATAATAAAACTCTCTCTCTCTCTCTCTCTCTCTCTCCCAGGCATTCGAAACGTCAAGCCTGACTGAAGGATATCTCTACACCCGAAAGGCCCTAACGTGCCCTAAACCCCATAAAGCTCTTGAAAACCCGTGAAGACCCCCCAGAGATCCTAAGCAGAGTAAAAGGGTGCTTCTAAACCCTAAACCCTAAATCCTAAACCCAGGCTCAGTATATCCGCCTCCTTCTGGTCACCGACACCAGCGAAGCTCAAGGCCTCGAATTGGCAATGTCTCGTAATGAACCCCTGATTAAGAAACCTTGGGCCTTTGATTGGGGTTCCTGATATGAATCCTACTGTTTTGGGGTTATAGGCCCAGGGTTTGATAATCGGGCTCCTACATTAATCTCGAATGTTTAGGGCTAAATTAAAGGTTTCGGGGGTAGACCCCTGATTCATAAACCCCATTCCGAATGGACCCCTCCCACTGTGAGGGAGAGGGGAACCTTGGGGTTAGGGGTTAGTGTTTAGGCCACATAATTTCCAATTTCGGGGCTTTGGTGTTTAGGGTTCGGGGTGTAAGTCCGGGCCACGTCAAACCCGCATGTGCTCCCCGGCAAAGCACTGACAGTCCTTGGTTGCGGCATCTACCCCTCACTGGATTCTGTGATTTTGGAAGTGCAGCTGTTAGATACTTGTGCGGGTAGACACAGGTGGCTCGGGGATTAAGGTTGCTGGAAGGACTCAAGACTCAAGACCAGTAAGACAAAGACAGCAGCTCTTACATGAACAGAAGCAACGAAGAGGAAACGAACAACTCATGAATGTACAGGCCTACCATGGTGAAAGCGCCAGAATCTACTTCCAGTCACAGACTGGCACAAGTAAGGTGAAAACCCACACGCTACAAGAAACGCAGGCCCAAGGACCCACGTCTGTTCTTTAAGCTCCCTGGAAATGGTTTGAGCGGATCTCGTGGTGACGAAGCCCGCTCATAACTTCAGGCAAAAAAGAAGAACCCTAAATCCTTTCCACACGGCTTCTTTGGGTCTGCCCTGGTGTCTGGAGGGTACCCAGGGTGCTGCAAGCCATCTGTCCAGACTTCTTCTGACTGAGTGATACTCACTGAAGAGCAATAGAATCACGAGAACTGAGGGCTTTGAACACCGATACGTGTTCGAGACCTGCAACACTAAACAAGATAACTCTACATATTCGTAACAAGGGCTCGCGACCTCTCTTTAGCAGGTTTAGAGCTCAGGCTCAGGGCAGCCAAGCGTCACTGCATCCTTGTGAAGCTCGACCAGAGCGCCTCCGCGAATATGAACGGCCACGTGTGCAGCGGCAGCTGCAACCAGCCGCTTTTTCAACACATCGTCCTATCTTGGACATTGGATGCCGGAAGCTTGACTGATGAAATATGACCCCAGGCAACTGAATCCTAAACCCTGAACCGGTCCTCCAAGGCCATCTCATCGCTGCCCATCCGTAGCTTCAAGCGCACCTTTCCCTCCACCTCCGTAGATCCAGAGATAAAGAAGGTCTTGGCCTTCCTGACGCGCCAGGAAGGCAAGGGCCACTCTCGAAGTCAGCCGAAGGGCATTCTGGCTCCATTATCACTACTAATTATTATCAGTACAAGTATCATTAGTATTGCTTTTACTATGACTACTGCTATTCTTCGCTGACACTGCATCACAGCATAACTGGCAACAGGGCCCGTGGCTCGCACGCGGAGGGAAGCTCGTTTCCGCCAAGCACTGGAACGGTGAGCTCACGGTGCTCCCTTCCCCCGAACAGGAATGAATGCTGCTTTGATCCCGGCCTCATCACCGCTCGCTGCTTCACGAAGAGGAGTGCCATGAGGCATGGAACCACGATGACATAGGCGAAGACGCTGACCCACCCGACCCAGTCAACCTCTAACAGGAACGCGGCCAAGAGACAAACCACACGGCAACGGCTGCCGAGACTGAGCTTCCGACCCAGGCCGACTCGCCGCCCGCATTGCACTTCAAGCGCGGGAAGAGCGGTCGAAAGGCCAAGTCGTCTGGAATGGCCTTTCCTGCACAGGTCGTCGGCTTCGAAGCTAGGCGGCAACATCCTAGCACCAAGGGATGTCTGCACAGCGCACGGCCGTCCTTCACCGTCCAAGCGCTGACAGTCCAGAAGTTGGGCAGCACCCGAGGCACCCCCAACGAAAAGGATCGTCAGAGCCTTCGAAGACATGCTGATTCCTGAAGTCATGTCACGTCAACATGCAGGTACCCCTCGAACGAAGTTCGGGTCTTAAAGGACCTTACACAAAAAGAAGGCTGGGGTTCCTGGTATTCTTGCAGCTTCGACTCCCAGCCCATGGCTGAAGAGCTCGAGGCACATGCAGGCGGCCACAGCTAACAGAGGCACCAGCGGAGTTGCCAACGCGAAGGCCGTTCGGACCGTTGGAGCATCAAAGATGCACTGCAAGGCGAAGGCATTTTGCACCTCCAAAGGAGGACTGGCATGTGTTCTTTGAGGCCTTCCTCCTGTGCTGCCACGGTCACGGCCTCGGCACCCGTCAACTGCAGGACCTCCATGTAAGATAGAAGACCATCACCTGAGATGCGCTTCTACCAGTCAGGCCGAGGCCGCAGCCAGCACGAAGCGTTTCTGCCGCTGCAGCGAGGCGCTGCTGTCACCTGCAACGGAGACGTCGGGCACGCGCCTCACGAGGTTCCTCAGCCACCGAGCTTGAGCAGACGAGAGAGCTCTAGACTCGAAATCCTCTAGGCAAAGCGGCTTGCCGAGGACGGCCCAAAGCTGAAAGAGCTGCAGAAGCGCCGGCGCCTGTGCGGCCAAGAGCTGGCCGAGGCTCTGAGCGCGGAGGTCCCAAAAAGGCAAAGCCGGCCTGTGAAACAAAGCCCCTCTATCTATCTATCTGTATATTTATATATATATATATATATACACACACACACATTGTTATATATGAATATATATACCAATATATTAATATACTATATATATATATATATACACATATATAAAGCCTGGGGGTTTAGGGTTTAGGGCCTTCGTTTTCGGGTTAAGGAGCAACCTGTAGCCAAGGTGGCACCTGCAGGCCCAGAAGGCAGCGCTGGAGAAAAGAGCAAGCACAAGGGCCACTAAGAAGGCGAAGCCAGAAAGCTCTTTGGACGTGGTGGACATCTTGCCACATTGGAAGCACTCGTTTCTGAAAGCTCTGAAGCCGGGTGCGCAGTCCGTGCACAGTGGGCCGCCGTAGCCTCGGTTTCCAGTAACATGGAACTTTCGGAGCCTTCCGCTCAACGTGCTCCCACGATGGCCCGTGTCACGTTCAGGCTTCCCTCCACGGTTCCGATATACGGTATACGTGTTCGAGAGTTCGCTTCGAGAGGACAGGAAACAACAAGCAGAACACAGCCCGTTTTCCATGTGTTCTTACTCGCCATCTCGAGTCAACTGTCTCGCTGTCTCGCTGTTGTGCTGTTGCGCTGTTGGGCTGTTGTGCTGTGGGTTGGGCTGCGGTGCAGTTGTGCAGTTGTGCAGTTGTGCAGTTGCGCAGTTGTGCAGTTGCGCAGTTGTGCAGTTGTGTGACTGTGCTGTTGTGCTGGTGTGCTGGTGTGCTGGCGTGCTGGTGTGCTGTTGTGGTGTTGTGCTGTTGTGCTGTTGGTTGGGCTGCGGTGCAGCTGTGCAGTTGTGCAGCTGTGCAGCAATGCAGCTGTGCAGCTGTGCAGCTGTGCTGCTGTGCAGCTGTGCTGTTGTGCTGTTGTGCTGGTGTGCTGTTGTGATGTTGTGCTGGTGTGCTGCTGTGCTGTCGTGCTGTTGTGCTGGTGTGCTGGTGTGGTCCTGTGTTGTTGTGGTGTTGTGGTATTGTGGTAGTGTTGTATTCGTGTGTTGTTGTGCTGTTGTGCTGCTGTGCTGCTGTATTGTCGTGTTGTAGCGTTGCTGTGTTGATGTTTTGTTGAGTGGTGTTGTTGCTGTGTTGCTGTGTTGCTGTGTTGCTGTGTTGCTGCGGTGCTGCGGTGCTGCGGTGCTGTGGTGCTGTGGTGCTGTGGTGCTGTGGTGCTGTGATGCTGTGATGCTGTGGTGCTGTGGTGCTGTGGTGCTGTGGTGCTGTGGTGCTGTGGTGCTGTGGTGCTGTGGTGCTGTGGTGCTGTGGTGCTGTGGTGCTGTGGTGCTGTGGTGCTGTGGTGCTGTGGTGCTGTGGTGCTGTGGTGCTGTGGTGCTGTGGTGCTGTGGTGCTGTGGTGCTGTGGTGCTGTAGTGCTGTGGTGCTGTGGTGCGGTGGTGCTGTGGTGCTGCCCTGTTGGCTTGTTGTGTTGGCGTGCTGCTGCGTTGTTACCTTGTTGGCAGTTGTGTTGATACATGCTGTTTGTCACTTGTGCGGCTACACGGTTGTTGCTGCTTGCTGTTTATTATTTCTCATTTGATCTCAGTTGGTGTTCTTTGCTTGTTACCTGTTGCTTGTTGCATCTGTGTGTGTGTGTGTGTGTGTGTGTGTGTGTGTGTGTGTGTGTGTGTGTGTGTGTGTGTGTGTGTGTGTGTGTGTGTGTGTGTGTGTGTGTGTGTGTGTGTGTGTGTGTGTGTGTGAACCTCCCTAGCACATGGGAGCAGAGGGTCACTCCTTCACGATTGCAGGGGGCCAGCGCATGGTGTTGTGACGCTGGCCAATGAAGCTAGCAACACCATGGGAAGAGGTTTGGGACGCCAAACCTTGTACCTGCACAACATTGAGCTGGGGCCCCTGTGCCAGCCAGATTAGAAGGCCCCTGTGCCAAGATTAGAAGGCCCCTGTGCCAAGATTAGAGAAACATACAACATACTCTCCTCTTCTCACTCTCTTGGCCGAATCAGTCAGTGTGACTAGCGTGGGTCGTTGAGACTCCAGAGCAACGGCTTTCCGTCATGGCGCCGTGGTGACCCTCCGGGGAGACCGGTGATGAACCGGGTGTTCAGCCTTCGTTCAGATCGTTCAGATTCTCCCGATGCTACTTTATCTCTCTCTCTCTGATGCTTGCATGTGCATCTGACATGAGTGCAGGTGCGGTAATGGACGGCTAATGCGGTAAGTGCGTCTAGTGTGCAGGTGCTACCTCCCTAGTCTGTCCCGTAGTCGACCGCTTCTTTATTTCTCAGGGAATGCAAGGGCATGTGCATCCGACATGAGTGCAGTTGCAGTAATCGACGGCTAGTGCAAGTGAAACAGCGCTCTCTTCGGAGAGTACTCGGCCTCTCGCTTTTCTCTCCCCCTAACCCCACACCCTAAGTTGAGGACCACGCAGGACGTGGTACCTCTCTTTCCATTGCTCCTGGGTGCTGTTCTGCACAGCTGGAGGATGGTCCGCCGCTCCTGGGTGTCTTTTGCTTCACAGCTGGAGGGTGGATGTTCCCTAATCCTGCTACTGGCCTTGGACCCTGCTCGGGTAGCTGGGCAGTAGTCACTCCGTTCCTGGGTCTTCGGTGACAGCTGGAAGGAGTGTCCTCAACCTAATCTCTCCCCCTAATTACAACATACAATCACATGTGCAATACATTGGTCAGAAGCTGCTAGCCCTGGACCCCTTCGAGGGTAGCTGGGTAGCATTCTTTCCGTCAACCCTCCTTACTGTTGCCTTTGGGGGCCGTCGCGCCCAGCTGAGGAACAGTCCCCGGCTGGATCTGGGCCCTTGCAAGGGCAGCTGATCAGCCTTCCTTCCCCTCTGTCGCTTCTGGGGGCTTGCGTGCCCAGCTGAAGGACAGTCCAAAACCCTAACTTTAACGCCTCACTACATCTTGGACTACCACAACATCCCGCACCGACAGCCTTATTTCACTGCACACAGCCGCCCCAAGATGGGGCTGTGTGTGTGTGTACCTCCCTAGCACATGGGAGCAGAGGGTCACTCCTTCACGATTGCAGGGGAGTGTGGCACTTGCGTCCTACCACACTCAACGAAGCTGTGGATGCAAGTGGGAAGCGGGACCTGATCAGTCCTGTGTACCTGCACAAAATTGAGCTGGGGCCCCTGTGCCAGCCAGATTAGAAGGCCCCTGTGCCAAGATTAGAAGGCCCCTGTGCCAAGATTAGAGAAACATACAACATACTCTCCTCTTCTCACTCTCTTGGCCGAATCAGTCAGTGTGTGTCAGTGTCAGTGTGTCTTTCAGTGTGTGTGTCAGTGTGTCTGTCAGTGTGTGTGTGTGTGTGTGTGTGTGTGTGTGTGTGTGTGTGTGTGTGTGTGTGTGTGTGTGTGTGTGTGTGTGTGTGTGTGTGTGTGTGTGTGTGTGTGTGTGTGTGTGTGTGGTGTGTGTGTGTGTGTGTGGGTGTGTGTGTGTGTGTGTGTGTGTGTGTGTGTGTGTGTGTGTGTGTGTGTGTGTGTGTGTGTGTGTGTGTGTGTGTGTGTGTGTGTGTGTGTGTGTGTGTGTGTGTGTGTGTGTGTGTGTGTGTGTGTGTGTGTTTGTGCGCAGGGGGCTAGCTGCTTGTTGTCCTGATTAACTACAGATTGCTCTTGCTTGTTGTGCATTGCTTGCTGATTGTCACTTATCGCTCATTGCGTGTCGACTGTTGCTTGTTGACACTTGGTTGATTGCTGTTGTTTTGGCGTCGTCGTCGTCGTCGTCGTGGTCCTTGTCGCCGTTGGCGCTGTTGCTCTTGTTGTTGGTGCAGCTTCTGTTGTCGCTGTTCCTTCCGTTGTTGCCGCACTTGCCTAATTGATAGTGCCGCTGCTGCTGCGTGCAGCAGGTCTTGTTTCTGCTCCCAGTCCCTCGTTTAGCGGCGACCAACAAGACCGCGAACTTAACACACATGTCTGAAAGCAACAGCAAAGCGGAAGGATATGAGATATACGCAACCAGGCTTGCACCCTGACATCGTCGTGCTCCCACAGTGTTGCGGGATAAGGCAGTGGTAAGCCCTGTCCGATGGCTGCCGGAGGCGCGCATATCCTGGTGTTGGAGGTGCTTCTGCTGCAAATAGTCCGTGATCTGGGCATTCCAGACGGAGCTCGCTGCAAAGCTCGCACCTTTCCTCCAAACGTGCCGTGCCTGCTCTGCACTGGCAGCTCTTATTGCCGGGTGGGCCACGCATGCTCCCGAACATGCACTCGCAAGCAGTTGCAGAACCGCTGGAGGAGCTGTCCGGCGGGCAGGGCTTGCAGCTTGCTTGGCCCTCCATCTGTGCAAAAGTGTTCGGTGGACAGGCGGTGCAGTTGACTCCATGACCCGAAAATCCGGCTTGGCACGCGCACATGTCCAAAGGCAGAAAGACCTGCGGCGTGATGCGCAAAGTGCCGGCCACCGGCAAGGCACAGGCCCAGCCCTCTGTCTTGTTGGTGACCGACCTCAGAGGGCCGGCAGTCTGCGCAAGATGTGCTGTCTAAGTCGTCGAAACTGCCTAACTGTGAATCTTACCAGCTCGCTCTCTGGCCAGCAGTCACATCTTCTCCGACAATGGCAAGCAGCACAGCAGGATTACATGTGTTTCGAGACCTTTCGGAACACGAATGTCAAAGGTCAAGGGGACAAAAGCCCCAAACCCTCCACCGTCAAGTCTCTGAAGCTGCGACTTTGCAAGGGCTCAGCGCATGCTGGCGCCCGCATCGGAGACCAGATAAAAGGAAAAGAAAAGAAGTACTAAAAATTAAGAGAAGTAGTAATAAATGTCATAGTAGTGACAACAGCAGAACCGTAGTAGTAAAAGCAATAATACAAGTAACAGTAATCTGAATATGAGAAGTAGTACAGTAATAAATGTACAACATTGCAATCGATAGTAATAATAATGGTAACAAAATTAAGCATAATCATAATAACAATGCAAACAATAAAAAAAAAATGATAACTAGCAACTAAAGCAATAGTAATCATATCAATAGTGATAACAAAAATGACAATACTTTCAATTTTACTCTTAAAACTAACAACTTTGTTACTGATGATGTTGATGATACTAACACAAATGAAAAATTAACACGAACAGTTACTACACATAATATTGTAGAAAAGCAATAACAATAGTAGAAATAATAGTAGTAATACTGATGATAACAACGAATTCTGATGGCTCACTTCGGCATGACCAACACTTAACCCCAAACCCCACCCCCAACCCTGCACCGCACAGGGCTCCGGATCTCACGCTCTTTAGGGTTTTCGGTTGCTTTCGGATCAGCAGTCCAGACAAACCACGGAAGGAGTACACGTTAGACTGAAGACGTTGATCTCCCTTGTAAAACAAACAAAATCTTCAACTCAAGTCACAAATATTAAAATTCTGCATTCCAGACAACAGAAAACTCAAAAAGACAACTTCAGATCAGCATAAAAACAAAAAAATCGAAGCCAATAAGACACAATGATCAACAACTGAACCATAGAGGAAAACGAAAACGTAGAAAGAATCAAGATACAGTAGACAAATAGGAGAACAATAAAACAGCAAAAGTTATGAACAAAAAACATGCAAAACGCAATAGAAACACACACATGCACACACACACACACACACACACACACGCACACTAAAAACAAAGAACTGGAATAAATTGAAAACATAATAAACAAAGGCATGTTCTAGCTTGACCCGCCCTGTCTTACAGTGCTGAGAAGTCACCTAGACCATCTTAGAACTCTCAACTCCAAACTTGATATTTAATTGTGGTACACAATGGATATGATACTCGAATTGCATTGCAAGGTAGCCAGTTGAACTTAGTACGGATGCGGCTTCAACCCATGCACCTGAGTTATCCACGACACCAGCGAGGCCCCGACCTGGAATCCTGCAGCTTCAGCTCCTTCTGGAGCAGCTGCTTCATGTCCTCTCAGACGAGGGTCTTTCAAACCAGAGGAGGGTTTTCAGAAACTCAAAAAAACCCTTGCTTCACGTCCTCCTTGTTTGCCAAAGCTGTGCCCGATAAGTCCAGGAATGTCTGTCGGCTGAGCGCTCTCTGCACTGCCACCGGTGCAAGGACAAGGGGCCTGCTATTCCTGGGCTCGGTTTTTGAGGGAAGTCACTTTACTACAATTACATATTTACCCATGCTCTTTACTCCTTCTGTACTAATTAACTTAAACTTATCTCCTCAAGAGGAACCCAGCTTCCGCTGCAAGCGAACTTGTGAGGCCGCCGGCAATTCCTCGAGTCGGGTGATCTTGTTCTCTGACAGGTCAATGGCCTGCAGAGTCCCGCGCACGGTGGCATCCCAACTTGGTCTCGTCTCATTCCGCCCGCTGAAGATGAACGTGGCGGGCAAAGTCTCTAGACGCGGCATTGCACCACGCAGGCCGCAGGCCCTCGCATGCACTTTGACCAATGGTGTTGGCGCAAGTGCAAGCATGAAATCGGCTACGGTCCCGCGCAGCTCGCATCCAGACACCTTAGACACTTCAGGCTGGCAAGACCTAGATCGACCCCGCCGGGGTTTGGCTTCAATCGACTCAGAAGCTCGCATCCAGTTCTTGCAGGCTCGGGAGAAACGGCTCAACCTCCGAGACTTCCAGGGGGAAGAAGACTTTTGGGAGCTCGCCGCCTGCCCTGCTGGCCTCAGTGCCAACAGCAAACAAAACCCCCGACGCCTCCACGGGTTTAGGGGTTTCGACGCTCACACTCGCACAAGGCAGGCAAGGCTCCACACAAGGGGTTTAGGGTTTAGGGGTTTACGGGTTTAGGGTTTAGGACCTCATGGCAGCACTGAGAGCCCAGCAACCAGGTTGAGGGTGCGCAGGTGCTGGCAGCAGCCTTTCCAGACTCTCGCAGAAAACCAGCCGGTGACGTTGGTGTGGCTTAGGTCGGCGGTTGTCAGATTCGTTAGGTTGACGAGCGCATCGAGCTCGCCCGCAATGGGGGAGTTGGAGACATCCAGATCCTGGAGCTCTCTCAAGCGCCTCAAAGGGCCGAGGTCGCCCGAGATTTGGGTGTGGGAAAGGTGCAACTCACTGAGCTTCGTGAGGTCCTGTAAGTTGCCCAGGTTGCCGGAGGCCTGGGTGTGGGAGAGGTGGAGCCGCTTCAGCCGGGTGAGGTGTTGCAGGGGGCCCATCTCACCCGACACCTGGGTTCGGGAGAGCAGCAGCCACCGAAGTTTTCTGAGGTTCTGCAGGGGTTCCAGGATGCCCGACACCTGGGTTTGGGACAGGTCCACTCGCATGAGATGGGTGAGGTTGCGCAGGGGACCCAAATCACCCGCAACTCGAGTTTGGGATAAATACAGCTTCTGAAGCCCCGAGGTGATGTGCTGCAAAGGCTTCAGGCTCCCCCACACTTGGGTTCGGGACAGGGACAGGGAGAAGAGTTGGGTGAGCTTCTGCAGGTTCGCCAAATCGCCGAAGACCTGCGTGTGGGAAAGGTGGAGGCGACCCAGGACGGTGAGGTGCGATAAAGCTTGCAAGTCACCCGACACACGGGTCTGCGAGAGAGAGAGCTGAGCGAGCTGGGTGAGGCCTTGCAGGCTCTGCAGGTTGCCTGACACCTCGGTTTGGGAGAGGAAAAGCCGCTCAAGGAGGCTGAGGTTCTGCAGGTGGCCAAGGTCGCCCCACACTTGGGTGTTGGAGAGGGACAGGGACCAGAGCCGGGTGAGGTGCTGCAAGGGTGCCAGATCACCGGATACCTGGGTGTTGCACAAGTCCAAATACCTGAGGCGGCGGAAGTTTTTCACCGGCACGAGGTCGCCTGCGATCTCCTTCCGTGCCAAGAGGTCCAACTTCGTGACATGGCAGCCCTCCGTGCAGTTCACGCCTTTCCATTCGCACGGATGTCCTTGCCAATGCTTGGCAAGGTTCCAAACATTGCTATTGCCCTGATTACGGTGAAAGCACGTATTGCCGCTGTTACAACTATATTGCCAGTACTGCCATTCCTATTGCTATTACTATGACTGCCAAGAACTCTACACATATGGCAACAACAATAACGAACCCTAAAAAGCACCGATGGTTTTCCCGCTCCACGCCGTCCTTGGCCACTGAGGCCAAGGGCTTGGAGCCAGGAGCGAAGCTCGGACTCGGAGGGACCTCGGGTTCTGGGCCCCGGCCCACTGGGTTTAGGTGTCGGCGCTCACACTCGGAGAATCCAGGCGAGGGCTTAGGGACCCTGAGCCTTACCTTACACCCTAAATTCCTCTCTTCACCCGAACTTCTCCTGGTAACCTTAGGCTAATGTTTCGGGTTTGGGTTTCGGGTGTCGACTCTCACTTCCGCGCGAGGCAGGCAATGTTTAGGGAAAACCCGAAAACCCAAGTCTTCTCTGCCAAAGGCACAAGGCTCGTGCCCCTCCTGCGCCAGGCTCGCAGTCGGCACCTGTGATCAAGTTCTCGCTCTGGCTGAGATTGCTTGCAAATCCCTGATTTTGAACCCTTCTTGTCTTAACGACTCTGTTGCCTCTTGGAATTAGAACCCCTTTGAAAGTAGATCTGTTTGTCACTCAGAGGCTACACGCTGGCACTCTGCTCTCTGCAGTCGGCTTCGTTTCTGTAAGGCGCACGTCCTGCCGCAGCTTGTTACGTGCTAGTTGTTTGTGCCGCTGCTTAACATTGAACGGTCCACGCGGTTAAATATGATTTTCGAAAGAAAGATCAACTCGCGTCGCGGTTCGCATGTGGAGATCCAAAGCCTTAGCAGCCTTAAAGAGTACGGAAGTCCCGGCCCGAAGCCCCGAAAACCGAGAACCCAAGCCCCGGGGAAATCCTACTACAACCCTCCTCACCCCAATGCTCTGCGGCGCTCATCAGCACTGTTCTGAGGTCCTGACATTGGTCCCTCTCGGCTCCCAAGGCCCCAGGCCAGGCTGAGACGACCCCTTGGCAGTCTGGGCTTGGCGACGAAAACTCCGATTTTTGGGGCTTGGGGCTTGGGGGTGGGGCCGGTAGGGCTGAGGGTTTTGGGGGTTCAGGGCGAGGGGAGTTCGGTCTGGAGCTTGCGGTCTGGTGCAGGGATTTCGGATTCTCATATAACTCACAAAAGTGCTTCTGCAACCAACAGCCAGGCATCTCTCTGCTGCTGACTGAGCGAGAGTTCCGGTCGCACGCCGCGGACACGGCTAAGGCAAAGCCCAGCAAGCGCAGCAAACACGAACATGTATCATGACATTGGCAACAGACGGCGGTCAGGTGGCTTGGCTACATCAGACTTTGAGCCAAGCCTGCGTCAGACTTATGCAATCTGGAAGGAGCTGACGCAAACGACTGCCACAAGCGCATGAACACCATGACTGCTCAGGATTTGATTTGAACGACCTGACACCATCCAACTGCTGGCAATTCATGGCAGGACAACTGGCAACAAAGAGTTGGGGTGTAGTCTAGTACAAGAGCTGCTATAAGGGATACTATAAGCAAAAGCTGCCATAAGACCACAATGAGGGTCGGGCCAAGTCCTGCCCACGACATCTGTTCCAGACGGCAGCGCACATGAATCGTAACCTCTGAAAGTGGAAGAAAACGTTACACCCTAGGCCCCCCGAGCCCAAACGCCGCAGGTCTACTTTCAGAGCCCCTAAAAGGCCGAAATGAAGGTGGCTTAGGGGTTGCTCTGAGAGTAGGGGTTGGTCTAGGGTTCTAGAATTGCGACTCTCAGAATGGGCTACTACGCAGGTTGCACAATAAGGTTCTATAGGGGGTGCTTTATGGAGCAGTATTGCAAGGGCTGGTTGACTGTGAAGGGGTTTACTTATGCTTTGTAGCGTTTGGGATTTCGACTCGTGAGGAGAGAAGGTGCTTTGGGTTGAGAGCTGAAGGCACATTTTGTGATTGTTGTTTGCCACCGGCTTCGACTCTGCCACCATGCAGGTGCATGCGCGATAATACTGACCATATCGTCCATGCATCTCTTTAACGTGCGATGTCTGCATGTGCAGGTAACAGTATCGACTTCCATATATAGCTATGCCGTCAGCCCCAAACCTCTCACCCCATCCTAAGCCCTTTTCAACATGGGCTTGGATTGAGTGCCCGCGAAGACTACTCAACAGCAGCCCTAAACCCTAAACCCTAAACCCCTTTTTGCAACAGCCTTTCCACTTCGCAACCCCTAAACCCTACACCCCTTTTTGCATCAGGACTTGTGCAATCGCCTGAAGCCCTACACCCCTAAACCCTTAAACCCCGCAAGTCCTGGTCAGGAATTCCTGGTGCTCCAGAGGTTCCTCTCTGCCCTGAGGCGACCCTTCGAAGGCCTCACATAGCCCTTTATAGGAATCCTAATCGAGTTTTTTCTCCTGTTGATTTCATGGTTACCATTCCTACTACGATTATTGCTAGGTATGGCACCCTTTTCAACGCTATCTGAAAGAAGCGAAGCTAAGCTATCAAAAACCCATGGTTTTCTTCCCTCCTACATAGCAAGGACGAGCCAGCATGGCAGGGTATGAGGCTTAGGATTTCAAGTTTAGCTTTCCTGGTGAAGGCTTACTCTCGCATACTCGTGCACAGTCCTGGGGGCTGCCGAGTTTGGACTACAGCAATACCGCCGCAAAACCCAGACATGTAACCGAACCACTCCCTCACTCCCCCTTTTCCCAATCTCAGCTGCTGCTTTTAAGCGCCTCGCTGTCCGCGCTTTCGGGCTGTAACCCCGGCGTGCGGACGCAACCGCGAGCCCCCTCCGCTCCCGCATCGTCTTTAGAATCCGACACATCCCCAAAAGCCCTGATTCCGGAACAGTTGAGGCTGAGGGTGTAGAGTTTGGGGTGGAGGGCCTCACGTGGGCATGTGGGGTTGAGCGTGCTGAGGCTCTGGATTTCCTGCGTGAATGGAGACTCAGAGCCCCGAACCTCAAGAACTGTAAGCTAAGGCACCGAGCCACAAGAATCTTTACAAGCCCCGTAAGTCTGCTGGCTAACAAGATCCCATGCATGCAGAGCTCGACGCGAGAGGCGGGCGACGCGGAGCCGCGCTTCTTCAGTTCTGAGTTTTGGCGAATTGCATGGGCAGCGCTCAAAAGCTAGATGCATGAGCAACTGGCGCTTACCCGAGGAGCGCATCAGGCTTCGCCTTCGTGCCAATAATTGTTCAAGGCTATGCGAGGTGGAGAAACGAACTTCGGTCTCTTGGACTCTGCATGAAGACTCGTGTTTTGAAGGTCTGGCATATCCCTCCACATGACTACTCGCTGTTCCATACTCCACGGCCTTTCTCAAGAGGAAGCTGTGTGTAGATCTGCACACAACTTCATCACTGATCAACCTGTGCAACATGCGCAAGGCGCGAGTTTTCACATGATTACCGCAGCGATTAGCAGCAAATGAGCAAAAGATGCTTGAGGAGTAGACTAGTCCAAGCACTTACCACCACTGGGGTCACCAAGAACAGCGAGCAGCAGCATCAGCAGTAGCAGGCCAACACCTTCATTCTTCGAAGCAGGAGCAAAGTGATTCTGCTTTTTTTAAGTTATATTTGTTTTTACTAAGTTGTACAATATAATCCATATTGTACAACTTAGTACGAATATAATACTATACTATGTTCTAATAATGATCAAGAAAATCCTCCACGAAGGTGCCATCCCTTAAAATTCTTGCATCGCAGGAGAAAAATCCGCGAAATCCCGAACGACCCCCGAAAGTAGACCCGAACGACCCCGCCTGGCGAGACAGTGGCTCATTTGTCCTCCTTACCTTTCGGCACCTCCACCTGATCCGGGCTTCGAATCTTCGATCTCTCCGCACTATGCTCAGGTTACAAGGGTATTGCCATGTAAAATGCCACCATAGGTGTATGCACCCCAGACATGGTGTCTTTCTTCGGCATGTGGATTCTAGCGCTTCGAGGTGGATGCTCCTGATGTTTTTGGCTTCGCCTCGCAATCTTCTGCTACCTCGACCTGGACGGTGACAAGAGCTACCACCACTACTGTAACATGGACGTACTCAAACATTGGACCAGCATTGGCAATGGTAGCAACACAGCTTAGAACAGCGAGTGCATGGATTACAGCCGGCTTGCCTGGATTATCCATAGCAGCAGAGGCTGATTGCAGTAATGACAATCGTCAATCAGTCGTCTTCACAACAGACAATGCCCCTGCGACCCATGACCAACGAAAGTGCACTCCAGTGACTTTAGTGCCATAAGCAGTGCCGAGCATCTCGATGGCAGCAGACTGTCATGAGGTTGCCATCTAAACAAATGCAACGCAGGAACGCATTTATGCAATCTAAGAGATTTGCCAACAGACCGATTATCCCAAGCCAGCACCTTCGCGCACTCTCCGTACGTCTGCTTGCCCAGCGAGAAGGGGACGTACTTGTACTTGAACATGTGCCTGACACCTGCCCGGGTGGATCTAACAAAACAAGCTGCATCAAAAGAACTACCCGCAAAAACAGCCATGCACTTCAACGGCTGTATGATCTGCAGCCGAAACTTTGCCCCGGGCGATCTTTCATTGTCAGCACCACAAGCACGATGAAGTACCTGCACAAATCTGGAAGGGCACGAGCTTGGGAGGGCAAAAAGGCACCCAAACGCATCGGAGGCAAAAACATACGGACCCGTGCGGGTTAGTCGGCCTCACCATCAGCAGCCCCATTCCTGTCGTTCTCCCCAGCTTCAGCCCGGGCACTCTTCGACGGTGTCGTAAGTTTTTGCAGAAAGAGCAGAACCCTTTTCGACACGGCAGGGCAGGATCCATTTTACAGGGACCCGCAAAATCAGGTAAAGGTACCCTCTAGCTTTCTGGAACCCCTACACATGAGAAACAACCAAAACCGAAGTGTTTCGACAATGCAGACTTCAGCGCTGCACACCAAAAACACCGACCAGGGCAGCTCCAATTATGTTGTAGTCGCGGCAATCCTGAAAATCACTGACATGCGACACGAAGCTAAACCATGTCAGCATGAGTGTGAACCTTGACTTGACAAACCCATGGAAGCCGGCAGCCCCGAAGCTCTCAGCTCCGAACCACCATGAAGCCGCAAAGCCCTAAACCCTAAACCCAAGCACCTAGTCTCCTACAATCCTTTTTGCAGCTGGGCTCTCAATCCGCCCATGCTCTGAAGGTCGAACATCCACAAAAACACAAACAAAAATGTATCTGATCTGTATCGAAACCTATGTATGTGTGTATATATATAGACATATACGCCTTTTTGGCCTATACGCATATATGGGCATATTCATGTATCTACTATTCATTTATTCATGAAGGTATCGTTTGTTTGGTATTACGTTCTTTAATTATTCGTTTCATTTATCCCATTGGCTTTCATATGTGTGTTTTATGTGTAGTTAAATATTATGTCTATTTCTTTATGGTTGATGATATGTTTCTTGGCTTGTTTGTATCTGTACTATTACGTATCTGTTTGACCGCTTCTACATAACACCGAGTTTGCTCAAATCGGGTGCTCACGCGAGGAGAATCGGCCAGAAAACTGGGAGGTCGAAGGCCGGTAGGAAGGTCAGGACTGTCGCTACCAGCACCTGGCATTCGAGGTTGGGGTTTCGGGGGTTCTACATGCGCCGAGTAAGGGTTTTGAACCGGTAGCCCTCGAGCTCCAACGTTCAAGCTTTACCCAAACTTATAGGATCTTATTGGAAAAATTTGCAAAGACATCCCAAACCCCGCCGACATCCGCCGACAGCCGCGGCGGGAGCACCGCACGGATGGCTGCGAACCAGAATTTGAACTCCGGGAGCTTGCGCCTGGAGTTTGGGGTTTGGTTAGTGTTGTTTTGAAGACAATGGTAGAACATGTCTAGAAGGGTTCTACGCCTAGACCCTAAACCCTTACAAATCCTGAATCCCAAACGGTTTCAGGCTTGGTTTAAGCTTCCAGGATATTCCAGGTTTGGGTGATGGTGTTTGTTTTGGACTGAAACCTGTAGCTCTGGATTTATGAACCGTCGGTGTTTGGCCGCCTACAAAGAAGGAGCCTAAGTCTTAGTGCTTTTTGTCGGGGCGTGAACCTTAAGGATTTCGGGTTCCCATAAACCCCAACCCAAACCGAGAGCAGCAGCGGCCAAAGCCCAGGAGCAAACATCTCAATTTCGGGCCTTGGCAACTTTGCGTTGCAGTTCGGGGCATGTCCTTTGCACTTGAAAGCTTAGGGTTTGGAAGGCAATCAAAAGATTCAGTTGAAAAAAAATCGTTTTTCAGCACGGACCCGAAACATTAAACCCCAACCCGCTATCATGCATGTTGAGGTGTGTGTGTGTGTGTGTGTATGTATATGTATATGTATATCTATATATATATACATATACATATACATATATAATACGCACATACGCACACACCCCAAGAAACCCATAAACCCTGACCCTAAAATGTGGTGTCTGCCTTTTGTCTGAGGCCCGGGGCGTAAAGGGTCGAAACTCTTGAGACTCCGTAGTGGGCAGAACCTGCCGAGGGACCGAACGCGCTAAGGTATGCTTTGAAGACTCCTCTTCGGGTACTGGTAAGGCACTGTAAATTACACTGCAAGGCGCAAGGGTGGGGAGCAGGGCGCACCAGGAGAGGTGGAGAAGCCAGAGCAAGTGCAACGGTCCCTCCCAACAAAAGCCGGGGCAGGGATTTAGGGTTTCGGCTTAATGCGACTCTGGAAGTACATTGACACATGGGCGAGGGAGGTAGCGATTTTCGATCGAGCAGCACATTCATTGAAATATGGTTGATTGCTTCGGAGACGCAATGCGCATGTGGGGCTGCACGATGTTACAAGACTTCGGTCCTTATTATATAAGGACCCAAAAATCAGGTACGCCTAATTTTCGGAAACTCTCAAACCCCTCAAGGCTGGGCCCAGAGTGCACGCTACCATTCTCCAGCCTTTCCAGCTGAACTCCGGCAGCCCAAACATGACCACAAAACACCGGAAAGCCTCCGAATCTCTTGATCCAAGACCCGTTGTCGTGAAGTGATTGAAACTGAGCCGTCGGGGGGGCAAGACCTTCAAAGGTTCAGAAAGGGCTTGGGAGTTTTTCGCTGCCTCTTCAATCTCAGGATCCACCGCAGGAGAAAGGAACCTAATACGTGGCATGTGGAGCCGGTGTTCAACGTTTCGGGTTTAAGGCTTTTTCTGCCGAACTTCATAAGTTGTCCTAGCTTTCGTGCTAGGGTTTCCTCAAGTTGGCGAATTTCAGAGTTTCACGGCACCCCAGGATCAAAAGGCAAGAACTCAACGCCAACGACCCCAGCAACATACCTACATACAAAACCCTGAAGCCTATGCCAAAACAAAATCAACCCCGGAACCCAAAAACCAGCCATAAAGCAAATTCGCGACCGCGCCGCACTCCGTATCGCGACCCGCCCGGTGGAACGGCCCGCTAGAACCCCTCCGATCCCGCCCCGTGCCGCACCCTCCCGGACCCGTTCAAACGACGAACACTCTTAACGTTTGTGCTCCCGTGCTGCACCCGTATCGCTGCCCCTGCGGTTACAACATCTAAAAAAGAGAACTCAACCCCCGAAGGGATTTGTCTGTACCGTCGTTCCATAATAAGGTTTACCTGGAAGGCAAGACGGCGTTGTCAGAGACAGTGAAAGAAAGCATACATGGAGGTTTGTAGCCTTCGGCGTGGGCTCTAAGGTTTAATATTCAGCATTTCATGTTCCCCGTTCAAGAGATTTGGCTCCGGAATTGCGTGAAGGTCTCGGGCACAGGTTGTCGGAGTGTAAGTGTCAAGTTTCAAGATTGAGCAGTATCAAAGCTTTGGGATGAAAGTGCTGACGTGCTGAGGTTTTGCTGGGAAATTGGAACGTACTTCCCTTTTTAACCAAGGCACCCGGACAAACACCTGCGAGTGTTTGCTGTTCCGTATCGCCCGAGAAAAGGGTAAGGGGTTTAGGGTGTGCACGGTTTATAGTCAGGAGGGATGTTTAGGGCTCTGGATTAATGTCGAGAAGCCCGATAAGCAAGTTCAGGAGGTAGATGCCCAGGCCATACGACACAATGTAGAAACCCTGGATCAGGAAGACCCTGGCGGTCCAAGGCGGCTCGGGATTCAGGCGGGGGGAGCCCGAAGCCGTATGTGTCAGTCGTATGCCCATGTCGGCTTTGGCTTCCTTATTTTGATGAAAAAACATCGGGCTTTCGTATCATGACTTCGAACTTTGGAAGGCTCCAACAAAAAATGCTTCGGGAACCAAAAAGTTCAAGTTTGAAGACTGAAACACTCAAGCTCGTGAATGGAACCTGGAATGTCAACAGCCGCCATCATCAGCATCAGAGGCTCACCATCGTCACCATACACGGCCACTGTAACTATCTAAAACAATCAATCTGTAACACTGCTTGTGAACCCAAGCTCTTTGACATCTGGAATTTCAATTATTATTGCAGTACGGTGCGAAGGTCTCAGGTTACCCTTCATACCCGTGGCATCCCCCGTCTCCTTCACACCCCCGACGTCACTCCCAGCGTTCGAGACCCGTGTTAGCATCACTATCGTTGTCAATACTTGCACTTGAACTTTGCAGAAAGCCGGTGGCTGTTTGCTGCTGGCCTGATGCCGTAGATCAGCAGGCAAAAAGACAAGGCGAACCACCTGTCAGCATGTTTCATTGACGGAAGCCGGTGTGATTTCGACCCATGCGTGACCATTCTTTGCTGTCTGCTGAAACATTGCTGGCCCGACTGCATGACTAACGACCAACTCGCCCCACGCCGCTACGTGCACGACCTTGCACACATGATTTCAGCTGAAGGGTTCTGGGTGATGTGGTGCTGTGTGCCTACACAATGGCAATGCTGTACAAGTCCTAAATCACGGTCAAAGCGATTAGGACAAGGGATGTCTATTGGCTTCTGATTAGAAGCTGCTGCACCGCGACAATCAACAGCTCGGCCCTGAAATCTCAACAGTTTAGCCCGTGCGATTGAGCAGCAAGAACTCCGCCCGGCAAAAAACAACAAAATGGTTACGTGCAGATGAAACCATATCCTACCATTGGTACTCGCGCGGGGGAGGGGGGGCAGCTCAACATTCTGCTACATTCTGAAAACGACCAAAGCATCCAAAAACTATGGTGACTTCTTCCATGTGTCCAAACATTCTAAAGCAATTCAGGATTTTCGGGTCGGGGCTTGATCCTTGGAGTGTGCTGGGCTGAAACCCCAGCGTAAGCCAAAGCCACCCGTCCAGGTGCAGCCTGCCTTGACTTCGTCCACACAGTGGTTTTGTCCACATAATGCTGCAACCTGCCCTGGGATGGAACTTCGAATTTCGCGTGGACTCCTGTCTATGTCGCACAATGATATGCCGCGTCAGGCATCTCCTCGCAAATCGCGGTTCTGCTACTGACGATGCCAAGTATAAGGGAGACCATATTCTGCAATTCGCACGTGTGACAGGAAGAAGCTTCAAAAGAGACCAGGGACCATCACGGACCTGTTTGCATTCAAATTTCATATACTGAACATAATGGTGTTTGGTATTCGGCAAGGCTTGTTGCAAGCGGCACCGTGAAATGTGTTGTTTCAAGAAATCTTGTTTTTAGACTAAATTGTTTTGTGAAGGAGTGATGTTGTCACTACGGGTCCTACTATTCTTGTGCGATCCTCCTACCATGCCTTGCAAGCGGTGCTGGTTGTCTGAATCGCAACATTGGTGTGAACGTTAGGTTTTTGCGAAGGTGAAACGTCGTATGACAATGGCGCCATGGTAGCCTTATTTACGGTCAAAGTACAAAAGCTCGCAACTCTGTGATTTAGGTTTTGCGCTAAGGCAACTACATCCCTGCAAGAAATTAGCACTTCGCCGTACATTTGCCGTGGCACAAAGCAGCCCACCACCGCCGGAGCTTCCTGCTTTGCCCGAGGGCATCTTCTCACGGAAAGAATCCAAGGCGGGCCAAGGGTTCATGTTTAAGTGCGGGGTCGATTGCACGAAGGTTGAGACACATCTCTGAAAAATGAAGCCTTGGAAGTTTTTTTGACACGACATTGCAACGTGTCACAGGCAAGGACTGAAGGGGTTTATCTCCCAATCTGAAGCAAAGATCTTCTGAGATACGGCAACAGTGCGGCAGCAGACTCCTACGCTTTCTGAAGAGCGTCATCACAAGAATTTGGCATTATCAAAGATCCTTGCACGAACCCAATCACTGAAACACCAAAGTCTGAAGGTCTGTCCTGCACATCTTCCATGCCGCCACACTACCTGGGCCCCTGGGGCCCAATCTTAGCTCCACAAAGCTGCAGCAACATTGTGGCGTACGTTTTGCGGCTGTCCCAACCAATAAATCTCCCTGTCGCTGCCGTGCCATCATCCAAAATCTTTCCTCTTTCTTCCAAGATTTGTACTGCGGCTTCACCAATCGAATACATTGCCTGAACGGAAACACTCCACGCTGCCCCTGCTCGCTTTTTTTGTCACGCACCTTTTCCGACGGAACCAGGTCAACAACTTACCTACCGTGTCTCACGGCGGCGCCCAAACCTGACACCAAGCCTTCATCGGGGTCCCTGGCGGCTGGCAGGCACGGGGAGCTGCCAGCGCACATCGGCGAGGACCTCGTGCAGTTCAAGCGCGTCCCCGGCGACGTTGCACTCCCCCGCGAGCGGGGGTTCCAGCAACGACGCGGCGATGGCGCGCTGCGCAGCGACTGCCAGCAGGCCAGACCGGCGAGCGACCCTCGCTGCGCGCGCAGCGGCCCGCAGGGGCACTGGCACCTCCAAGGCCCGGTGCCCAGCGAGCAGATGGAGCCAGGTGGCTGCATCAGCGCCAAAAGGGCCGACTTCAACACCGCAACAACGAGGCGGCAGCGACGGGCCTGCACTTGCGTCGTGCGGCTCCGTCGACGGCCCGGCCAAGCCGCACGTCAGGACCCGGCTGAGGGGCTGGTGACGGGAGTGACGATGGTGGCATCTACGGCTTGCTGCGAGCCATGCCACAAGGCCAAGACGTTCACGACGACTTCGATGCGGCGGTCGTCGGTGGGAAACACTTGCGCCGGCTTCTTGGCAGACCCTCGCAACAGCCCATTCAAAAGGAGGGCCTGGGAGGCGAGCACTCCGGAAGTTGCGCAGGCAGCCCTGTGATCACTGAGTGGGTCAAGGCGACCACAGCAGGCGCACGTGCGCGGGGCGACCGGCAGTGGCAAGCGAAGCCGGCGCAGCATCAGGATGCGGAAAAATGTTTACCTCACCGTCAGTTCAGTTGAGGTGGGAAAAGCGGTGAAAGCCCGTGCAGCATGCGGCCCAGCCTACAGCAGCAGCGCTCGAGATGCAGCATCAACGTGAAAATGATGCAACTCGAGAGCGCGCTTATCACTGGCAAAGGAAGCCTGATGCTGCCTCGCCGAAGTCGCGGTCTGCTTGCCCGGGTGGCGGTTGCCCCTGCTGCAGCGTGGCCCGCAGGGAAGCATCGTAGCCCTGCTCGCGAAGGCAGGCTGCTGCGTGACAGGCAGCTGCCACGGGCGCAGCGATATCGGTCGCGGACGCTTGGACCAAACGGTCGGCTGCCAGCGGCGCCCGTGCCCGAATCGTCGGCAAACAATCAGCCCACGCGGCCCCATAGGCGGAGGGTGCTGCGTCGACTGCCGAACACAACCCTTAAGGCCACCAAAGCGCAAAGGCAGATGCGCGAGGCGCTGCGCAAGCTCGGGCAGCGGATGTCGGGTGCTCTGAAACAGCAGGGCCGCTAGGCATGCACGGACGGCGTTGTCATGCTCGCGTGCGAAGGCCTCGGTCGCGCAAGCGACAGCATCCGAAGCAGGTAGTTTGCGCGCGGCGAAGCCCAGAAAAGCAAGAGGAGCCACGCGGACTGCAAATCGCCGAGAGCCGGGAGACGGCTGAGCAGTCGGTCTTGGACCTCGCGTTTGCCGCCAAGCTCACGGCGCACGAAAGCTTCACTCCCCACCGGTGCGCCCAGCACCAGCCAGCCCTTGCTGGTCAGCGGGCAAGGACCTTGCGTTTGTCCAAACCGGGTCCGTGCCGACCGGCTGGAGGCGGGCAAGGCCACTGGGTTTTTCACCTGCCGCATTCCATACGCGGGTCTTGCCTTGGTGCAAACGAATGCGCCACCTCCAGGGCACCGTGCAGCTCCCCGGTGCATTCCGGTGCCGACACAACATACGTGTCGTCCGAAAAGGAGAAGATTGCTTCACCTTCGCGGAGTCCGGCTGCGGCCTCACTCAGAGCCGCATGTTACGCGAGGGAGTAAAGCGCTGGCATAAGGGGTGAGCCGAGGCTCACTTAGGATTTCATTTTTGGCCTCACTTGGGCCTGCACATTTGCAAGCTTTTGACTCACTTAAACCTTCTTTTTCGGCCTCACTTGGGTCTTCATGGCTTGGGGTTTAGGGTTTCTGGATTCCTGTTCTGCCATATCTTAAACAGAGCCCCTTCGTTTGGCGATTGCGGTTATATCCTATATCTTAAACACCACCCCTTCATGTAGCGATTCCGGTTATCTTATCTCGTAAACACGCCCCCTCATTTGGCGATTCCGGTTATCCTATATCTTAAACACACCCATTCATTTGGCGATTCCGGTTATCCTATATCCTAAACACACCCCTCATTTGGCGATTCCGGGTATCCTATGTCTTGAACACCCCCTCATTTCGCGATTCCAGTTGTCCTCTATATTAAACACACCCCCTGTTTTGGCAACTCCGGTTATGCTATGTCTTAAACACGGCCCCTTCATTTGGAGATGCCTATATCTTAAACACAACCGCTTCATGTGGCGATTTCCGATATTTTTTATCTTAAACACGCCCCCTCATTTGGCGACTCCGGTTATCCCATATCTTAAGCACACCCCCACATTTGGTAAGTCCGGTTATCGTATATCTTAAAGACACCCCCTCATTTGGCGGTTCCTGTTCACCTATATCTTAAACACGCCCCTTCATTTGGCGATTCCGGTTATCCTATATCTTAAGCACACCCAGACAAGGCGATTCCGGGTATCCGATTCCGGTTATCTTATATCTTAAACACGCCCCCTCATTCGGCGTTTCCGGTTATCTTCTGTCTTAAACACATCCCCTCATTTGGCGATTCCGGTTATCCTATATCTTAAATACAAACCCTTCCCCTGGCGATTCCGCTTATCACCCCTCATTTGGTGATTCTGGTTCTCCTATATCTTAAACGCCCCCTCATTTGGCAATTCCAATTATCTTAAAGTTTAAAGGCCCTTAAAGACACCTTCTCATTTGGCGGTTCCGGTTGTCCTATATGCTAAACACACCCCCTCATTTCGTAAACACAACCCGTCATTTGGCGGTTCCGGTTACCTTGCATGTTAAACACCCCCTCATTGGGCGATTCCGGTATCCGATATCTGAAACTCCTCATTTGGCAACTCCGGTGTCTTATATCTCAAACACGCCCGCTCATTTGGCAATTGATGTTCTCTTCGAACTTCAAGACACCCCTCTCATTTAGCGGTTCCTTAAACACAACCCCTTCACGGTCTTAAACACACCCATTCGCTGGTCTGGTTATCGCATATCTTAAACACCCCCCATCTGGGGACTCCGTTCATCCCAGATGCAAACACACACCTGGTGGTCAGTCCGGGTTCGGGGGGTACACCTGACCCAAAAAAGACTAAGCACCTCGACGGGAATCAGTGGGACCCTTCTCTCACTGGCTCGCAAATCCCGCCTCAGGACTGAGTGCTCGCATCGTCGTCGTTACACAGTCCTTGTTTTCAATCAGAATCAGCAAGCAAGCCAGAAGCCCGACAGGAGCCCACCGCCGACGTGACCCCACGCCAGCTGTTCACCTCGCCCGATGTTGACATGTCGCCAAACCTCTCCAACAAGGAAGACCAGAGCGAGCCGAAGACCCCGCAGACCCCATTTGGCCCTCTCATTTGGTGATTCTGGTTATCTTATATCTTAAACACGCCTCCTCATTTGGCAATTCCAAGGATCTTAGAGCTTAAGAAGTCTTCTCAAGAGTTTGTTTTGCAGAGTGTGCATCGACTTTAATAGGAATGACGGTGCTTGCTGAGTTGCCGGATAGTATGGAGGAAGGGACTCTGAAAGTGGTTTGGTGTCCCACGTCTGTCGATGGTCGCAGATATTTGACAAAATGCTTGAGCATGGAGTTGTTTGGAGGCACCAAGGTGCTTTAGGGATTTTGAGGATGAGACCGTCCAAAAGGTTCACGTGATTTGCAGCGTGAAGCTCTGTAGGCTCGCGCAGCTTGATGACGACTTGTCTATGGACCGCAACACGGAAGGCTCAAGCCTTCAAGCTGACTGGATACCTGAAACAGGATACTTGGATCGATCTTCGGGTTACTGCTGTGCAGAACCAGGAGGTTGTAGCACCATTTTGGTGCAAAACGTGCAACGAACAGGTGCTTCCGTCGGAACACTTCCACTTGCAGGCACTTGTGCTGTAACAGTTTCTAGCACACTTCCAGACTGATTCTCGCTGTGTAGCATAGCTTGAAATCGCTAGTTCTCGAAGAAGTCTGAGCTATCGTACTCCAACAGTGTCTTTGATGGCTCGGATGGATGCATGCGGTTTGGCCGCCTGAGAACGCCGTCAAAGTGAAAGCTGCAGTGGGCTTGTTGAAGCATAAGCTCGCTAACCTCACTGAAACGGCTGCACTGCGCAACGCTTGGCGGCACACTTCTCTTGTCGTGCTGCCTGGATCTTACGCGCTGTTCTGCAAACGGCTCTAATGTTTTTTCCTCATCTGCAAAGACCGAAGCACACAAAAAACACATCAAGAAGCACATGAATTTTAAAGCTTAAACGGAAAAAAATTCTGCTTCACAACCACACTTGAAGAGTGAGATGCAAGAGTCAGCAACTGACCAACAGAAAGCAACCGCGATGGGATCAGCAGCTCAGCATGCATTCAACATGCGCGCGTGTTCAACGAAGAAGGTTGTGGCAGCTGTGGTGCCGCTCGGGGCAGAATCAGCAAGCTGGGCTTGTCCGTCCTTCCCGGACTTTCTATCCTTTCCATCTTTGCCAAACTTGCTCTTTCCCTTGCCCTTCTTTCCTTTCTTTCCTTTTCCCTTGGCTGCATAGGACTCCTCAGACTCGTACCAGGACCAGTCATCCCCGAGTCTTGGCTGACTACAACTTGACAGAGCTGCGTGAAGTCTACCTTGAGATCTTCTGCACGACCAGAACTACCGTCGACAATCCTCTTCTCGCTTCTTCCGGACACGGTGGCCGCAAGACGTTCCTTGTGATCGATGAAGGATATTTGAACAATCATGAAGGCTACTGGGTCGAGGACGAGGAGGATGGCACAGAAGGTTTCCTGGAAGCAGACGAGGACGTCTTCTGGGTCTACGACGACGAGAATTACTCATGGTTCCAGCAGTGCTTCCAAGGCCGCAAGATGAAGCGCGGATTCACGGGCCACCGCAAAGGCAAAGGAAAAGGTGGAAAAGGATCCAAAGGAAGGCGCTTCTTCAAAAAGAAGAAAGGCAGGTCTAACCTTGCCGAGGAATCAGAAGCATGGCAAGCAGACAATGGCAAGATTTCCAGTGGAGCGATCAGTCCTGTTCCGATGTGCCATCAATGATGTCAGCACCTGTCGCTGATCCTGTGTCAGACAGAGAGACAAAGATCAAAGCAACAAGGTTGGCCGTAATCGAAATGGTCCGAGCATGCTGATCTCTGAGCCGTTCGTTGGCTATCTCCATTGCTTGTTCTGCTGTGAGTCCTTCTTGTTCTTCTGGTGGAAGTTCTGCTACGAAAGGCTCTGACCTCTGCATTGTTCGGGTCCACGATCGGCATGTAGGTGTCGTTCCACGATTGTTGCATTGCATCCTTTGAACAGAGAGCTGAAACCTGGTAATCCAACGAGGTCCCGGGCACGAAAAGAGCTGAAAATCTCCAATCGAGGCGGCTTCCCATCTCCTAAGGGAACAAAGACACGTACCCCAGAGCCGTTGGCACCGTGAGGCCCAACATAGATAGCCCGCACCAGGCGCTTCCCCCGATGCTCCGGATAGTCCTTTTGAGGCTTACCGAAACCTACCACCCCAAACTCACGCTTGGACCGTGGAACCCCGAAGGCGTTCCAGAGGCGTGCTTTGCTCCTTGGACACATGAAACAAATTATGCATCCTAACAGCATACCGCCTAGCTTCAACAAACAAGTGGCTTCCTAGAGGCAGCTGCCCTCCTACACGCTCTTCCAGTCCTAGCCAAACAGACCAAAACGCTTCTTTCACTAGGCAAATGTTACGCTCAACAATGCCTTTCGCCTGGGGCCTGTTCACTGCAAACGGAACCCAATGCATGGACCGTCCTACAAACGTCCGATGCTTCGCAGCATCCCGGAACACACTCTCCAGGAGGTTTTCTTGGTCACCGTGGACAACAATGTCCAGCCCGTTGAGGCCCATCTCAGAAAGAGCCTTGCAAATGGCTGGTACAGGCACAGGGTCCTCAGGACCTAAGACAACAGTGCTCAAGTACCCCGAGAGAACATGAACCATCAAAAGAAACCGAACATTTCGACCGAAGAAGCCAAAATCCACCTGAAGCTCTCCTGGGGCATAGTGGCTCTTCATGTTCTTGCGCCGTGCTGGGACACGACCACGTGCCGACTGGCACACATCACAGAAACTCAGGAAGGGCTGATGCCCTTTGTTCCGGTGCGCCCGCAAACGCTCTGAAGTGATGTATACTGGAACCTCAAGGTCCTCCGGAGGAGACAAGCCTGACGGCTCTGGTCGAGGTTCGGGGTCCTCAGGGCTCGGGGGCTTAAGCTTTGGTTCGGGGTCTGGCAACAGATCTCAACCGGCAAACCTGCAAGCATACGCGCCCTATGCACAACACACTCAGGCACAACATGCTCATGCACAACGTGTGGGGCCTCAGGAATCCGCTGTGCTTCCGCTTTGCGCTGCACGCGCAGTGCAGCAACTTTCTTAAGCACTTTGCGGACCAAGCACAACAACATTCTCATCATTGGCCGTTTTCTTTTCCATGGCAAACAACGACGAGGATTTCTACCTTTCAAGGTCACTCGCACCCACACTGGCTTCCTCCGGCTTCTAGTCCAAAGCTTTCTAAGTCCCCCGCTTCGACGCACTACCAAGGCTGCCAAACAGACTGCCAAAAGCACGCAAAGACGGAAACCCACAACCTTCGAAATAACCCTGAACAAGGCTGCGACACACCATCTTCTCGAGAAACACCTGGGCAGAGCGGGGCACTTTGTGGATCCATTCGGGTAGGGCGTAGCTTCGGGGAAACGCAAGCACCACGCACCTACCGCAAAACACTCTAGGTTACCTTCACCTACGGCACTGCACTCTAGACTACCTACCCCTTTGGCACTGCACTCAAGACTACCTACGGCTTCGGCACTGCACTCTAGGTTACCTACCGCGAACACACGGCACTCGCACACTTTTCCAAGAGAAGATGAAGATCTCGGGAGGGTATCGGGCTCTAAAGCCAAAACCTCCACAGGCCCCTTAGGGCACAACCGCCCGACCATCAGATCGACGGTGACCTGGCACGCTTCGTTGGGCGAGGCCTGTCCTCCTTCTTCGAAGGTTTGATGGCGGTCGCCTTTCCTTTGGGCTTCGGGGGCAACTGAAGTGGTCGTAGTAGGCACCGTGGTCTGCATAGGCATTGGCGTAGTCGGCGCCGTGGGCGGCATAGGTGTAGTAGGCGCCGTGGGCGGTTTAGGTGGTGGAGTCATCGGTACGCCCGGTGTCATTGGCGTTCTCTCTGTTTCTCCCCGTTGCATCGAGCCTCGAGTCGGGGGGCCATACCGCGGCGGATCCCCAAACACTTGCCTCAGGGCCGAGGTTCCGAACGGTCGAAACACACCAATGAATCCTGGAGGAGGTGGAGGTGGGATCGACTCACCATCCAAAGGCCGCCTTGGCATTGCCTTGATCTTGGGTCGCCTCGGCATCGGCATCGGCTTGGTGAGCGGACTCTTTGGTGTCGCCGGGGCAGGTTCTGGAGTCTTGGGGGCCGCCCGAGGAGGTGTACATGGCACCATCGACCCCACACTGGCGGGAGAAGGAGGAGCAGCAACAGAAGGGGGAGTCATCGGCGTCATCGAGGGTGACGACAAAGTAATAATGCTCCCTTCGGGGACCGCTGCACCAGGAGACTCGGCAGCTGCACGAGGAGACTCTGCAGCCACGCCTCCTTCGGTAGCGACTGATTCGGACTCGCCGATCGCATCTGCCAACTGAAGTTCCAAAGTTTTCAGCTGGACCGTCGCTTCCGCCTCTTGTTGCGCCAGGAGCGCGGCACGAAGTTCCTGTTGTTGTTTCTCCCTTTGTCGCACACCCACTTTCACAGAGGCAGCTTCCACGGCCGCTTGGGCCGAATCTTTCTCCCTTTTTCGCACAGCCAGCTCTTCGCTGGCCTTCTCCATCTTCTTCTGCTGCACGGCCAACTCTGCAGTGGCCTTTTCCATCTCCTTTTGCCGCGGGCCCGCCACAACCTCGGCGGTGGCCTTCTTCTTCTCTCGGGGAGCATCTTCGCGACGCTCCTTCCGGCCCTTCTTCGGAGCATCTTCTCGACGCTCTCCGTGGTCCTTCTTGTCCTTCTTCTTGGACTTCTTCTCTGCCACGGCGGGGCACGGCGGGGGCTCTCTGGAGGCGCAACCGGCGGGCCAGCACTTGCAGAAGCTAGCTCCCGGCCACTCCCCGACGCAGGCTCCCGACCACTGCCCGACGCAGGCTCCCGGCCACTGTCTGTCGCCGGCTCCCGGCCACTGTCTGTCGCGGGCTCCCGGCCACTGTCTGTCGCCGGCTTCCATCTCCCCCAGTCCTCTTCGGAACTGTCTTCTTCCACAGTGGCCGGCGCTGCCGTCGGAGGTTCCGCAGGCCTTGTCACAGAATGAAAAGTGCGAAGCATGCGTTCTCGAGGATCTGCTTCGTTCATCTGGGCCCTCTCCTCGATCTCCCTCCGTGTCTCTACGGACTTGCTCAATCTCAGCTTTTCCAGCAAAGCAGACCGCCACGCCGTCGCGGCATTCGCGAGTTCTCTCAAATCTCTCATCCGCTCCGCCATGACGACCATCTGGCTTGGCGGGCCCGGAGGATCCGGAGCTGCCATATGGCAGACTAGGGTCCTCTTGCGGATTCCAAGTCCACGCCGCGGTGACGACATACAGCAAGACTAGCAGTCTCAGCTTTGCTCGAGAAACGAACCCAGCCGGAACGACACTTGCATGCACCTGTCTCCGCGTCTGAGATCCTAGCGCACCAGCACTCCTAGCAGCGACTGCAGGCAACACGGCACACTCACTCCTACCAGCGGCTTCCGAAAACCCTGCGCACGCACTCCTACCAGCGGCTTCCGAAAACCCTTCGCATCCCCTCACCGCAGCAACTTCTGAAACAAAGGCTCCCACACGCACTTCACTCTGAGGTGTTGGCGGCACAGGCTCTACACTCACACACAAACCCTCACTCCTACCGCTCCTACGGCTTGCTCCGGTGTGTGTGGTGCTTGCTCGCTTAAGCAAAACGGCTGCGGTCGGAACACAGACTTCAGAACCTACCACACAACTCTCACAACACTTCTCAGAAAACACTGCAGGCACTACCTCAGTCTCCGTTGCTACCTCTGCTGCGCAAAAACACTTGCAAGAAAACTCACTGCTCACAGCCCTCAGCAAAAACTTGAAAGGAGTCACTTCCAAAGCTCTCTGCGGATGCTTGTTCGGAGGCGCCTTCTCTTTGGCGCGGTCCACTTCCATCGCATCACCCGTGTCGTCGTCTTCTTTCCCAAACTTCGGTGGGGTACCTTTGGGCACTCCTGCCTTGGACTTCGCTTTCGCCTTAGCTCGCGCGGGGCCGATCTCCTGGGCCATTGCCCACCAGCTCCTGGCTTCCGTCTCTAAAGGCACCCAAATCCAGGAACCCTTCCCGTTGTACTTCATCAAGCAACTCTCGCCGGGCGTGGCGGTGAACCAAGAACACCAACCCGACAAAGGCGCTTGCCAAGAACTGATCACATTGAAGCCGATCTGACAAACCAGGACCTTCTGAAGCACTACAGGCCCTAGCTTCCCAAACTCCACTCGAATATCGACCAAACCGAGGCATTCCATCTCGGTGTCGCTTGCGCTCATCAAGACAGGCAGTGGTCCCGAATGCTCCTTAACGATCTCGTAAAACCCTAAAGAAGCAGCAGACAACACGTGGCACGTGGCTCCACTATCAACAAGCCACGCAAAGTGACTATTCCTCGAAGAGGACTGGCTCAGCTTCTCTACCACTTTATCCGTCATGGTGAGACGTGGGGACTCAGCATCATTGGGCTCATTGTTCTTGATCGCTTTCCCTGGGTGAATGCCACGGAGATGATGAAATCTCAAGGCCATCACTTGCTCAGGCTGTTCTTCCTCAAGCGCGCGTCCTTTGGACTTCGCATTCGGCTTCGCCTTTGGCTTCCCTTTGCCTTTGCCCTTGTCGCCCTTCTTGCCTCCTTTGCCCTTGCCCTTCGGCTCGCCACCTCTGCCACCACCGTTCCCAGAGGGCTTTCCACCCTTGCCTTTGTCTTTGCCTTTCCCTTTGCCACCCTTTGGTGGGTCAGGGCACTGCCAACTGTAGTGTAGTGACCAGCCTTGCCGCAGTTCCAACACAAACCCTTCTCGCCAACAGCGTGAAGAGCACCAGCGTCGCAAAGCCTGGTCTGTTCCTCAAAGAACCGGATGCTTGTCACAAGCTCTTCCCAGGTTCCCGACTTGCCGTGCAGCACAACGTAATGCCGGCACTCGGGGTTGACAGATTGAAGCAGGATGGTCTGGCGATCTGAAGCGCCGGGCTTCAGCTCTGGAAAACGATGAAGCTTCTGATCCACTTTGCCCAGCTCATCTTCCAAGAACCGGACCACATCAAGTGGCCTCTTGTAGGCTCGGGCTTTTGTAGCAAGCTTCAGGGCCTCGTCCCTCACAGCAATTGCCTCCATTCTTGAGACAATACTGAAAGTCGCATGCATTTGCCGCATGACTTCGTACCCACACACAGCTTGAGCTTGCCGCATGGACGTGCTTCTCACAAGCTCCATGCCTCTCTCAAACTTCTGCAGACTCTGTTGAAGGTAGTAAAACAACCGAGCTGACCTCGACGCCACAGGTGCAGACATCTCCGACTGCTTGATCTCCTTGTGATGCACCATTGCTTGGCGCAACTCGTTGACGTAGTTGTCGTCTATGAGCGCCAACCATGACGCCAAGACTTCACACCAACGGTGGTACTCTTCCAGCTCTTTCACACGCCCCTTTCCCATCGACGGTGCGTCGATAGTGGGCAAAGCAGGGAGGTACTTCTCAGCTCTGTTGCTTCCTACGTGCAGTGACGGACCAGCAGGCGCTGGCGGTGGTGGAGCAGACGCTTTGGCTGACGGACTTCCAGCCGCCGCCGTCACACCGAAGGGGTCTGCAACTGCTGCCGAAGCAGCTTCTGCATCCTTCCTTCTTTTCTCGTCTGCGTCCATCCGGGCCTTCATGACCTGGAGCGTCTGCTGTTGCATCTGCATCATATTGAGCATCAACTGCTGAAGCTGGGGGTCCAAACCAACTGTCGTCGTCACAGTCGGTGGAACCGGTGCTTGCTGTGGCACTGGCTGCGGTGCAGGCTGAGGTCCAAGCGGTCCTGGTTGAGACGGCTGACTCGCCTCTCCAGGTTCTGGACCGAAAAGAGCAAAGTCGTCGTCCTCAGGCACTGGGTGCTCGACAGGGTCGGCCATGGCCATGGCTTCTCTACAGCGACGAGCGCGCTACACACGCTCCGCTACCATGTAAAAACACAGCAGCAGCGCGCTGAACCCTCTTTTTCTCACGGCTTGAGCCAAAGTCAGCAGCCGGAGACTTTGTCTGTGCAACTTGGCCACAGATACCATGTGCCACAGCACTGCAAGTGAAACACTGCTCAGCCACGTGTTCTCCACAACTGCAAAACAAACTCAAACGTCAGCAAGGAAAAACACTTCCCTACACTCTCAAGAACTTCAAAAGGCTTTCCAGAAACCAAGCTCTCAAGTTGAGCCTCCAAGGCAAAACTACAAGCTACAAAGACTCACACATGAGCAGGCATGCAGGACAACCAAAGTACCATGTCTTAAACATGAACTTCACATGGTTCGCCTCTGCAGATGCGATCGATGACTGGTGTGACATGAGCTCGACAACAATAAGCGTGGACCAGCTTTGAGAAATCGGCTGAAGGTGAAGCAGCTATCCACAAAAGGCTTCTTGCTTCTTGACAGGGATCGCCTGAAGGATCCAAACAACGGAGTGAAGTGCTTCAAGACCTGCGGCTGCTCTTCGTGAAGAGAGCAGCGTATTCTCGACCGCTTCCAGCAGTTTATGAATTTGCACCGCGGGAATGGAGACATGCTTGGTGGAGTTTGACAAAGCAGTCCTAGACCAACTGGCAAGGAAACCGTGAGGACCCTGAACCCATCAAGTTTGACGTGCTCTTTGGATGCACCTCAGCCTCCTCCTGATCCTCCTGCGGTGCCTAGAGGCCTGATGGTAGCCTTGAGTTCCCTGTGGGACCGTCAGAAGAGCCTGGAGCTCCTGATGCGATGGAGGATGACGATCTTGCTGATTATTCTCCTTCTCTTCCTGGAGATGATGGGTGGATGTGAACCTCCTCCGGTTGGCGGTGTCCTTGATTAGGATGATGTTGATATGGACGATAGTGGAGATGCCATGGATGAGGGCTTTACGTGGCTCTATGAGTATGGTCTTCGCCAGCTCTATGATGGGCCTGACCTCCGTGTGGCCCAGAAGCTGAGGAGAGAAGATAATCCCAAGGAGTGGTTCAGTATGAAGCTCTTAGGAAAGAAGATCTGGATTCCCAGACAACGCGGTCTGTGAGGTTTCGGGCAAGGTTCTTGCGAGAAATCTCAAGGAAGGGATGAAGCTTGAGCTCTCCGAGAAGCTGAGGCAAGAAGGCCGTGCGAAGAATCCACACCACCCGTTACTAACCTCCAAACGCTCTGTGACAACCCGGCCGTTCGAGCGCGTTTGGTCGTGCATGACTATGCGTTCGTGACGGGATGTGTTTGCTCAGTTGCACAAAGCCATGAATGGCTTGCGGGTTGGGCCGTTAAGTTGGCACTTGGAGTTCACCAACACGTTGCGTGGACAGTTTGGGTTCGGAGAGACTGCGGACCCAAACTGTGCACCACCGTCTTGAGAAGGACAGGTCGTTGACCTTGGTGTTGGTGTATGTACATGACTTGATCATCTTCTCCCAGAACCCAAAGATTGCCAAGGAGTTGTTGCTAAGCTGGCCAAGATCTACAAGATGAACAGACTGGGATCTTGGAGCCTGGCAAGAAAGGGCAGCTTGAGTTCCTGGGAAGAGTGCTTGTCCATGTGACGGATGATGGGCCAGTGTTGTTTGGCTTGAAACCGGGCTACTTGAAGTCGCTTGGTGAAGAGTTTGGGATCAGCGGAAAGGGTGTGAAGCCTGTGCTGAAACCTTGAGGGAGTACTGGAAGAAGGACCCTGAATAAGCACCGAGTCGTACAGAGATTCCGACCTTGGGAAGCTCATGTGGGCCAGTCTCACGCTGCATATCCTGTTGGGATTATTGGTCGTTTTCAGAGTGATCCTGACAGCCAAGCCGAAGCCTGTTTGAGAAGAGTTGTGCCTCTCTCTGGGGAGGGTGTTCCAGCGCTCCACTCTGTGATAGCTACTCGAGACATAGGTCAGAATTCGGTACTTCGGAGCACTGTCGATTCGCGTACGGCCCGCAGCTCTGACGATCTTGGGGCCTCTAAAGTCTTTGCAAAACGGGCCTTAGAATAGCTTTAGGGGGCGCGCCACTTGCCAGCAGCTGACGAGCACTCGCCAGCAGCTTACGAGCTACTTACGAGCACTCGCCAGCAGCTTACGAGCTACTTGCTGGCAACTTACGAGCACTCGCCAGCAGCTCACGAGCGACTTTCGAACCGCAACACAGCAGCTTGCGAGCGATTTAAGAGCTGCAGCCCAGCAGCTTACGAGCTACTTGCTGGCAACTTACGAGCACTCGCCAGCAGCTTACCAGCGACTTTCGAGCCGCCAACCAGAGAGCGCGCGTTCGCGCGTCGCGCCCCAAACAGCTCCGAAGCACGACGGCGCGCCTCCAAACAGCTCGGCGAGCTCTCTTCGCGTCTTAAACTGCCTGCGAAGCCCGCTCCTGTTTTGCAAGCACCCGAGATTGCGAGCCGGCACCCTCCCCAGGCAGCTTCAAAATCCCGAAATTGCAGTGCGGGCCGGGAGCGTATGGGACACAACCGGCGTTGGTCCACGGCTGTGGAACTTTCACTCTCGAAGAAGTGGAGGAACTGCCTTCTGCAGGCTGCCCCAACCCTAGGTCCAGATAGAGCTGTTTCAGCTCTTTCTTTTTTGCCATGATCGTCTTCCACAGCTCGTCCCGCTGGGTTTTCGATTTGCTCTTTTCGAGCTCCTCTTCCAGGAAGTTCAACTGCAGAGTGCGCGGCGGATGTCGTTTTTTTCTGTGACATTTCTGTCTTTCTGGGCTGGAGCTCCGGAGGCACTGCCCGGCCTTCTCGTAGCTTCCGTCGCTCCAGCCGCCGACACTGACTGAGGTAGCCCCTGCTGACCTTCCAGGTCGAGCTTTCCTTGTCAGTGTCGATCTCGTCGGGGTCCTTTTCGGACATTTTTTTTCGGACTTCATTTTTCCTTTGTAGTAGTCCTGTTCGGACTTGTGCTGGCTGGCAAAAGACCAATCTCCCCATGCTCTGGTCCTGCCACGGACTCGGCTGAGTCCATTCTTGCCATTCCGTCCAGCCCCAACTTTGCCATTCCTGGCTCCCGCCCCAGCCCTGCCAGCTGCCTTGTGCAGGCTCCCAGGAACTGCTGCTGGCTTGCCAGCCATGGCTCGCCCACTGATCGTGGGTCGAGTATCGGACGGGGTCACCGTCGTCGTCGTCGGTGTCGTCCTGCCATCGCTGGCTTCTGCACTCGAACTTGAATTCTTGGCCTCTTCGGCCTTTTTTGCCTTCTTCAGGCTCTGCCTCCTCCGTCGGTGTATAGTTCGTATACGTGTAGGAATATTCTTCCTTCGGCTCTTTTTTCGGAGCCTGGCTAGTTGCTTTGTTCGAGCTTTTTGCTTTGTTCCTGCTCTTGGCTCTTTGTGAAAAACAGAGCGCGCAGCACTCGGTCTTTTTCTTGAGCCAAAGCGGAGTCGCGTCGGGCTCTGACTGACAGTGAAACACCTTGCAGCTGTCTGTCTCCAAGCAAAACACTTCAAGCACTAACGAAACGAGACGAAACGAACGTGCAGTCACTTCCTAACTCAAAAGCACTCCTCACAGCTTCAGGCATGCCGAAAACATCAGGACATCCAAGGTCAAATGGAATTTTCTCGTCGTGGGCGAACAAGTCGCTGCCAGGCCATCGGCCGGCGGTTTGGGGTGAAACAGGCGGTTTGGTTTTGCCCACCTTTGGTGGGTTCTACTCACCAGTGGCTTCCACTGGGCTGGAAGAGCTTTGTCAGTAGCACCAGCCTTTTGAGCTACACCAGCTGGGCTGGTTACTACTGGCACCAGTTCTGTAGGCCGTGGTGACTGGTTTGGTCCTACAGCTGGAGCTCTTTGGCCCAGACACCAGCTGGGCTGGTTGCTACGAGCACCAGTTGCCTGGTTTTCACCAGCAGGGCTGGTACTGGTAGCACCAGTTTGGAGTTGTTCAGGCCTTAGCCTGGGCTCTCAGTCCCTATGGAAAGGGGAGGATAAGCCACGTTTTTCCCCGTACCAGGTCGTGCCGGTACTCGTCCGGGAGGAGGGGCTGGCCCAACAGTCCCTCCGGCGTTACAGCCAAAACGCTGGTATCCACCAGCACTTTCATGAGGGACTCAAAGTCCGTCTTGGAGAGCTTGGTCTTCGCCAGCTCTTTGAGAGCAACCGTGGTGCTCTCAAGCGACGAGTGATGCTTTATCACTGTCAGCTTTAGCTCAGCCCTCAAGGGATCATCGATGGATTTCCAGAACCCAGTGAGGCGCTGGACGTTTGGCCACTGGGGTCTGGTTCCCTCAGGGTAAGGGACCCACCCCAGCACGTCCAGCATCACCATCTCCGGTACAGCCTGTTCTGGTTGTGTGAACCTCAGGCCCATATTGGCCTTCCCTATGTCCTTCACCAGGAGGATCTTCGCCAGGAGGGCCACCGTGAAACAGGCCTGGAAGGCTTGAAAGGTGCTGAGCTGTGCCGGTATTGGGTGCACCGCCTCCATCTCGATGAGGGTGACCCATTTGGGCTCCTGGTCTGCACCAGGTCCTCTTTCACAGAGCTGGTGAACACCAGCTTGCTTGGCGAGGCCTGGAGTCATGGCCCCCGTGACCTTGCACACCAAGACTTCTTGGTCTTGGGGGTATACCGACAGTTTCCATACGACCCCCGGCTTGTGGGGTGTGAACGTGACCACTCGTGAGCCACCAAGGCCAACTATCACCAGGCCGAGCCTGGTTACCCCTGAGACCTCCGTGCTGAAGTATTCAACTTCACATGCCTCAGCATAGCGGCTGTGGCATGGTTTCACGTTCTTTTTCATGGAGATGAAGAATTTCATCGTTTGGCCATAGTCCGGGTCTGGACCGGTAATGCCTGGCCCCGGGGGGAGCTCACGTTTCCTTTTGGGCTCTTCTGAGCTGCTCCCTTCCGGGGTACCCACCGGAGCTGGTGGGCTTGCCTCCTCTAGGCTTTCAGAGTCTTTCTTCTCCTCCTTTACTGCTGCC